TGAGGGCTCTAAGGTCCACATCACTGAGTAGGGCTGCCATATGAACTCACGTCTGACTGATGTGAAGTTCAAGGTTGCCACTCTGCTGCATTACACAGTGCCTGGCACGTAATAGGACCTCCATAAATAATAAGAGAAGGAAGCGGTTGTGTCAGGATTCTGACATAGGTCAGCCTGACACAAGCCTGTGCCCCTAACCACTGGGCACCACCTCAATGTCACCCGAGGACCGCCTTGACAAACTTCTGAGAGGCTGGTGAAGGTCCTGGGGTCAAATGGAGCCCTGTACCCAGCCTAGGTTGGAAAGGGGCAGGGCTGGCCTTGGCTTCATGGTAGGAGCTTGGGGACAGGAGGAAGGAGGCCTGTCAAACTCCCCTACTCCCCGTCAAGTGTCCTGAGACTCCTGAGGCTTCAGGTAGGTCTCTTCTTCATGGGAGACCCCATTGGTCCAGATGGTTCCAGGGCGACTTATTGCTTCCCCAGCTCTGTAAAGCAGGGGTCAAGGGCAGCTGGAAGAATCTGTCCTGTGTGGAATGGGTAACAGGAGGGCACCTTTTCTGGAACAAATACCTGCATTTGTAGCACGTTTCCAATTTTGCCCAGTGGAGCAATTCAGTCCTCAGCTTTCACAGTGCAGTTGGAATATCTGCTTCCATAGTTTAGCTGGAGTCTCAGCCTGTGGGCCAACATTTCTGTCATCTCAAGCATCTGAGGGCGTTCACCCCAGACGTGTTTACACCAGGCACTGCCAGCCTGCTGGGATGGTGTGTCTGTGGGAGCGGCTCTCAGGAAACCCCACGGCTGGGATGCTAAGAGCAGGAGACATGCTCTCTTTCCTCATCCTTTAAATGTATTCACCACATTCTCCCTAAGCTCCTCCTCTGTCCTGGGCATGGTCCTAAGCACGGAGACCCACGGATGAGAAGCACAGCCCCGTCCAGTGGGGCAGGATGATGTGTCACCAGACAATGAACTCACAGAGTGATGTGTGTGTACACAGAGCATGGGGAGGGTGGGACCCATATTTTCTAGGATGCTTTTGGCTGCAAGTAACAGAGAAGTCAACTAAAGTAGCCTAAACATAAGGATGTTAGTTGGCTCACTTCACAGGGAGGGCTTAGAGCAGGGTTGCCTAGCAACTTAGTGAGGTCTTCGAAGACTCTGGCTCCAGCAGTCTTTCTGCTCTGCCATCCACGGTGCTTTTGGGGATGCTAGCTTCAATCCACACGATGGATGCCATAGCACTGAGCATCACATCCTCATGTCCAAAATCAGAGTGGAAGGGTGGGCTCTCCTCCTGCACCTGCTCCTTTTATCAAGGAGGAAAATCTTTTCAGAAGCCCCCAATGGACTTCCCTTTATACACCTCATTGGCCCAATGGGGTCACATGGGCGTGACTAGCTGCAAGGGAGGCTGGGAAAGTGAGTACCAGGCATTCTCAGTTCTATCTCACTAGAAGACAGGAGAAGAGCAATGGCCATTGAGTGGGAAGGAGGTCACCTGCCCCTGCTCCATCTAGAGCAGGAGTTCTCAATGATCGACATTCTGGCCTGGATAATTATTGTGAGGGATCTCCTGTGAATTACAGGATGTTTATCAGCATCCCTGGCTTCTACCCACTAGATGCATTCCTCCTCCAAGCTATGACAACCAAAAACACCTCCAGACATTGCTAAATGTCCTCTGGAGCGGGGAGAGGAAAGCGAAAGCACCCCATCCCCACCCCAGTGGAGTTACACTAGTACAGAGCCATACCGAGCCACATTGAGGAGTCAGGGAGGGCCCCCCTGGAAGAGGTGCTGACTGGACGGAGGTTGGAAGAATGAGTTCTATAGCTGGGGGGTGGGGGGGTGGAGAAGGACAGCCACCTCCTTTCCCGTGTCAATTTTTCAAAAATAAACATGTATTGCTAATCCCTCGCATTTTTACACAGCTTGATAGTTCAAAACGTGCCTTTGCTTATATCATCTTATTTATTCTGCACCATGGTCCTGAGAGGTAGGTGCTAGCATCCCACTTACAGATAAGGAAACTGAGGCTCAGAGAAATTAGAACCTTGCCCCATGGCCAGAGAATGGTGGAATAAGGGTTGGAGTCAGGTCTATAAACTTAGTGTTCTGTCCGCCGTACCTGGCGCTTGTGAGGTAGTGTAGATAATGGCATTGCTACGTGACTGATGACATCACTACAGCAGGTGCCATTTTCCTGATGAAGCTGACACTCAAGTGGGAGGAGCCACCTAGTCTCGGAGCTGTGAGATTGATGACTTGTGCCCAGAGCCTCCTGCTTCTGATTTCCTCCCAGGGAGACAATCGTTGTCTACTAGTGTGACAGCAGCAACCAAAGGCTAGAGTGGGGACCTGTTGGGGAATTTGATGTTTAGTGCCCCCTCCCTCCCTGCCCCTTTCTTCCTCTATGTCATTTTTGGTGTTTTTGGCAGCTGGCCGGCACAGGGAACCGAACCCTTGACCTTGGTGTTACAAGACTGCGCTCTAACCAACTGAGCTAACCAGCCAGCTTATGTCACTTTTGTCCTCAACCAGATACTCAGGGCCCACCTGTGCTTTCCTTGTGCTGCCCACATGCCCACGCTGTTCTTGGGAAAGGCCTGGGGTGAGTGTTGTCTGCTCAGCCGCTTCCCTCGCCTGCGCTCCAGACCCCACGCTCTGGGGCCTCCCGCTCACTGGTCTCCACTCCGGTCCCCTTTGCTGGTTCTTCCTTTCCTCACAGACCTCTTAATGCTGGAGTTCCCCAGGGCCCAGGCCTGGGTCGCTTCTATTCTCTGTTTACACTGAGACCCTCAGGGACATTAAACACCATCTGTACTCCCAGTACTCCCAAGTATACACCCCCCAATACACCCCAGTCCAGACCCCTCTGCCAAAGCCTATTCTTGGATTTCCAATGTCCACTGGACTCTGATCTGCAATATCCAATAGATGTCCCCAAATTAGCTCCTGGTTTTCTTTCTCTCCACCACCCACCACCCACATCTGCTCCACCAGAGCCTTTTCCATCTCAGTTGATGGAGCTGCTCAGACCCCAAGCCTTGGGGCAACCTCAGCTCACACCGTCCACATCCCTTCTGTTAGGAAATCTGGTGGGCTCCGTCTTTAAGACACATCCAGGCTCCGCCCACATCTCACCCCCCCCCCGTTTCATATCCGCCCACATCTCCCCCCCCCCCCGTTTCATATCCGCCCACATCTCCCCCCCCCCCCGTTTCATATCCGCCCACATCTCCCCCCCCCCCCGTTTCATATCCGCCCACATCTCCCCCCCCCCCCGTTTCATATCCGCCCACATCTCCCCCCCCCCCCGTTTCATATCCGCCCACATCTCCCCCCCCCCCCGTTTCATATCCGCCCACATCTCCCCCCCCCCCCGTTTCATATCCGCCCACATCTCACCCCCCCCCACTGCTCCCACCTTCATGTCCTGCCTGGATTACCACAGTCGCCTCCCAGTTGATCCACCTGATTCTACTCTTGGGTCCCTAAAGTCTGTTCTCAACACAGCAGCCAGAGAATCCTTCTAAGAGATGCTGGCGTATGCCGCTCCTCCGCAGGGACGCATCTCCCTCAGACACCCCCATTTTACAGTGGCCCCCAAAGCCCCACCTGATCTGGCCCTTCCCTCTGACCTCAGCTCCCAACATTCTTCTTCCCACACTCCCCGGCCACATGGGCACCTTATTCCTTCCCAGCCGCACCAGGCAGTCCCTGCCTGTTCCCTCTGCTGGAAAGCTCTTCCCCCAGACAGCCACTGGCTCCCCCAAGTCACCTTGAAGTCTTTGCTCAAATGTCACTTCTCATCTGTTTAATTGTAGCCTCCCCCACACCCCTACTACCAAGGGCCGTCTTGAACCTCCTTTCCCAGCTCTGTTTTTTCCCCGTGGCGCTTCTAACATACTGTGTAATTCGCTTATTTATTATACAGTATTTATTATTTGTTGTGAGTCTCCTCCTGATAGAATGTAAACTCCATTTATGAGGCAGATTTTGTCTTTTTTATTCATGGACGTATCCCAAACGCACCCACAACAGCACTGAACACATAGTAAGCCCTTAATAAGTACTTATTGAATTTAATTGAAATAGCTTACACTTTAGTATAAATAATACATATTCTCTGTCTCTCTGTCTCTTACATTGTGTGTCTCTCTCAGAGGGTTTGCATTCTAAGTTTTCTCCCTACTAATCTCAAGAAGGGATTATTTCTTGCATCACAGCGCACTTGGGAAAGGCATTTTAAGGGCTGTGGGTTGCACAGTCTTGAAATAACACCAACTGGATCAAGGACCCACTGTGGAGTCGGGGCTCAGGAAAGAAGCCCCAGGAACTGCCTCATGTCCCGCAAAAGCAGGGAGTAGGGATCGCAGCCTCCAGGGTGTGACAGTGAGGGAAGGGACGGGGTTCATGGTGTGACCGCAACTGACTGCTCCACAGAGGAAAGAGGTTTGGAGGGCTAGACCAGCTGCTCACAAGCGCAGAACCCTCAGAGTTGAAGTCCTTCCAGCCTTTCCTCTTGGCAGCGTGGGCTAAGGAATTAGGAAAGTGTCTGGTCGCTGCCCCAGGCTTCCCTTCCTGCAGCAGAGCATGGGGTTCCGGAGGGGAGGAGATGCAGGCGGGGCAGAGCAACTGCGAAGCTGAGAAGCTCGAGCTGCAGGGACCCTCATTTCAGTGAGGCCCCCTTCCAAGGCCCTGGGAAGATCTGAGGTTTGTGGCATGGTTATTTTTTTTAAATGTGTCATTTGTTGTGATTTCCCCCCCTGTCATTCTAAATAAACATCCACTTTCTATCACTAACATTGTATTTGTAAATTTGTTTTTTTAAAGAGGGCCCCTAAACTGTATAAGTTCAGTCCCTACAGAACCTCAATCTGCCCCCAGGTGGTGAAGTCTGCTCCCCAGGTAGGTTGAGGATTCTGGCTTGGGCTCCCCTGGTGTGATGTGTCACTGAAGCCAGCCACATTGCTGCCTTTTTCCAGCACCTTCAACTAGTGTAGGATCCTATCTTCTATTCCTGTGTTTCCTGAATCAGGCCTTAGAGAGCTGGAAAAGCTTTGCAGAGATGGAGGACTTGTGAGGTTGGAGGGTCCTCTGCTGGGAAAACAGAGGTACAGCTGGGAGTGGCCAGTTTGAGGCCAGAAAGCAGGTGGGTCTGGGGCTTGGCTCACAGACAAGCCCCTACTTTGGGGCATGGACACATTGAAGCACACACAACACATCTCTAAAATTCAAATGTGAGCATACTTTTGTGTACACGTGTTCTGTTTCCACCCAACTTGGACTAACACCAACTGGGGTGTACTGCGACTCAATTCTGACACTAACCACCCTGGAGTTAGCATCAGACTCTACTGGTTTAAGCACTCAGTCCTCCATAAAACTGCTCCTGCTTCAGATGCCAGTGCAAGTGGGATCCCCAGGACACCTGCACTCTAACTGGCCAGCTACAAATTTGGAGGTTCTCACTACCTCCTCAGGTTCGATAATTTACTAGAATGACTCACAGAACTCACCGAATGTAGTATACTTAAAATTACAGTTTTGTTATAAAAGGTGCATATAACACCAAGGACAAGGGTTCAGATCCCCATACAGACCAGCTGCCAAAAAAAAAGAAAAAATATACAACATAGGAATAGCCACATAGAGTCACACATAGGGCAAGATCTGGGAGGGGTTGCAGACCTCTCAATCCTCTCTCTGTGGAATCAGGGCACACTGATTTGTTCACAAACTGGGAAGCTCCACCAAGCCTTGGTGTCCAGAGTTTTTATTGGGGTTTCATTATGTAGGTGTGATTGATTAAACACTGGCCGTGTGACTGAACTCCATCTCCAGCATCTCTCATCTCCTTCCTGGAGGTCTGTCAGCTGAAAGTCTCAACCTTTACTTACATGGTTTGTCTTTCTGGTGACCAGCCCCCAATCCTGAAGCTTTCTAGGGGCCTACCCCAAGTCACCTCATTAGCATAATAGATTTCTGTCACTCAGGAAATTCTAAGGGCTTTGAAGCTCTGTGCCAAGAACTCGGAAAATGACCAGTGATATTCTTTATTATACCACAGCACATCTACACAAGCACAAGAGTTACGCCTCAGGTATCTTGTAACCCACAGCAGCCAGCCAGTCACCCTCCCTCTAGTTCATCCACAGATGCCCTAAGGTGGCAGCAAAACAAAACAAAAAAACCCTTCTGAGGGTCACACTGCTGTCCTTCCATAAAAGGCACCACTGGACCCCAGGGCAGCCTTGTCGCAGCTGCCCTCGGTTTCCCTTCCCCTCCAGGATGTTGGCTTCCTGGAGAAGAGTGGTTGCTTTGCTCTAGCTCAAAGCCACTGGTCAGAAGCCAGTGTTTAGGACACAGGCTGGCCTTGCCAAGCATTGTTTTCTTTTGTTTAAAACAAAACAAATTCCAAGTCCTCACTTGGCAAGCCAGACCTGGTTCCCTGAGGACACCATAGCTACCACCACAGCCAGACACCAGACGCTGCAGCTTGCCCCACAGATCGGCAGGCCCTGGGCCCTGAGTAACCCCACCAGCATCAGCACACCACTGCTCGAGAACGTTGAGCTGCAGCTGCCAGAGGGAACTCTCTGAGGTCCTCGGTTCCTTGGATCATGGATCCTTGGTCCTGGATCTGGAGTTGATATCTTGTGTAAGCATGATCCTATGTCCCAGCTACAAGTCCCAGCTCTTTTCCTAAGACTGGGGACATGCCCCAGTCCAAGAAAGATGCCAGATATCCACTACGTCTCCTGTTCTAGCAGGCCTATGAAGCAGCACTGCCTGTGCCACGTCCACCAGTGCTGCTGGCTCCTCTAATTCTTCTTATGACCGTGGACAAATGCTTTGGTTTTTACACAAGGCTTAAGTCAAGGCCTGAGATCAGAACACCTCCCATGGCATTTCCAACACCCAGTACTCAGGTGTTTTAAAGACTGCTGCTTGGTTTGGTGCCTACTGTGCCCTGCTGGACCTACAGCTACCACTGTAAGGACATCATACTTATATTAGGCACTTATTGTATTTCAGGCCTTGGGCTTGGTGTTTCATACACGTGATTTCATTAAATCTTCACAGCAACACTATAGAGGAGGGGGTATCATGATCATTCCCATTGATAGATGAGGAAACTGAGATTCAGAGAGGATGAATGAATTGCTCCGGGTCACAGAGCTGATAGTTGGTGACACCAGACGTAATACAGACCCAGAACAGTCTAATGCCAGAACCCACATGCTTAACCACTTGACAGTTCTGGCACCCAGACATACTCCATGCACCCTCTCTTCTCCTACCCTACTGCCCCAGTACACTTGCTGAGCCATGCAGGGGATGGAGAGGGCTTATCAACCTGCCCTTGGGAATTTGGCCACAATAGAGCATCACTGTTTCTGCCTTTGCCTTCCTCCCATCGGCCAGTCCAGCCCGGCTGGGAGCTCCTGCCTGCTTATAATTTTTTTATTCCTCACTGTTTTGCAGAAAGGATGTCAACAGAGCAAATGCATTTAAACAGGGAACTCTGTTGATACAAAGCTGCATGGAAGGGCCGGCCCGGTGGCGCACTGGATGGTGCGCCGCTTGGGAAGCGCGGCGGCGCTCCCGTCGGAGGGTTCGGATCCCACATACAGACCGGCTCCCGCTCACTGGCTGAGCGAGGCACGGGAGCAGCACCAAGGCTTGCGATCCCGTTGCCGGTCCCCGGTCCGGTACGGGGGCAACACTGAGGGTTGCGATCCGTTGCCGGACACGGAAAAAAAAAAAAAAAAAAAAAAAAAAAAGCTGCATGGAAGCCACAGAGGGGCAGGAAAACATCGTAGTTAAGACCTCAGGTGCCAGAAACACATGGCCATTGTCTGAATCTAAGCATTGCTAATTACTAGCTGGGGGACTCTGGGCAAGATGCTTAACTTCTCCGTCCCTCCATTTCCCCATCTGTAAAATGGGGATAACAATGATTCTCACTGCACAGAATCACTGTGAGGGTGCAAAGAGTTAGCGCATAAAGTCAGATTGAGTTGGGTATGGAAAGAGGGGCAAGCCCAAGGTGCCGATTCCCTGGGCTGCACCCTGACACCGTCAGAGGCTGGGCCAATGCCTCTGGGCCATCTCTGTCCCTGACAGCTTCATCTACTCCTGCAAGGTCCCTCTATCTCTACTTTGGTCCATGGAAGTGCTGCAGCTTATGCTGGGGTCCTCCTGCCTACTAACCTCCTGACTTATCAAGCCAATAAATTGATTATGCTGTCCTGCCCTAATGGAGCACGTCTCTTTGTGATCCTGCCCAGTTCTAGGGCAATCTGACTGGGGATGGGGACTGGATGTTTATGGAGCTCTTCCTGAGTGCCCGATTTTCCTCCTCTCAACAAAGGGGCAAGGTAGTCCTTAGTAACCTTGATTCACAATGAGGACACGGAGCCTTGGGGAAGTCTGCCCAGGTGTCCAGCTGCTGGACCCCTCAGGGCTCAGATTCCAGGCCAGGCTCCTCAAGGGCAGAAGTTTGGAAGATCAGAGAAAGTGCATGGCAAAGATTCCAGATTTAGGAAACTTCCCTAAAAGCTCAAAGCGCAGTTCTCACAAAGACTTTTGGAGCTGCCCTGACACCTAGTGGCCAAATGCAGGAATTACTCCACCTTCGGGGAGACTCCGGGGGCTGTTGCGGGCAGGTTTGGGGTGCGGCTCTCCAATCTTCACTTACCTGGGGGTGGCAGTGTCAAGGGGTGACCTGGAGTCCAGAAGGTGTGGAGGGGGGACATTTTTGCTTTCCCATAATCTCTATTATTCTCCCAAAGCCACCCGAACAAAAATAAGATTTGATAAGAACAATGGCTGCCTTTTCAGTTTTATGCAGACGATAAACAAAAGCGTCTTGAAAAAATTTGCTGTTTTTATTGATGTATAACCACTACGAATGTGTAATTTGTCCCTTACACATTTTGATACTTCAAGGCTTCTCTTTCTAGCCCACACGTAATCCTCAGGGTTCCACCTAGACACCAACGTTTGCCGGATGCTCAGTTGCAGGCAGGGCACTTGGAGAATTGTATGTGTCGTAACAGATTTAAAAGACATGATCCCTGACCTCAAGGGGCTTCACTTTATTTGGGGGAGATAGACCAGACATCTACAGAGCACCCTGATGTGTACTGTAGCTGTCAGTCCCAGCCCACAAACTCCTTATTGCATTTATTTTCCCTTTGTCATCCTAATTCTGCCACTGAGCCCTATTTCACCCAGAGTGATGAAAATTCAGCTTCAGGAATATGCTCAGGGTCGAGCCAATGACTGGAAACTTTAGCCCCTCTGGTCTTTGGCAATCTGTCCACACTGATACCACTGGGGGCCTTTGGTCCCAGCCCACAGGGACCCTTCACAGCTGCTGCTCTGCTCTGTTCATGCCATGCTTGGGGCTGGGAAGCTTTGGTGAGCCTGGGAGCCCAGCCCAAGAACGGCCCCCACACAGCTCAGCTGCTTGCCCTGAGGTCCTGCAGGACTCACAGGCCTCCCTCACCTCCCCGCAGTGCTGGGGCAGCTCCTCTCAGAGCTCCTGTAACCTTCCCTTTCCCTCCTCCTGCCTCTCTCCTCAAGTTCTGTTCTCCCCCATAAGCTTAGGCCGTGGGAAATGTGAACGAAGGAGGGACAAGTCTTGCAAGACACCAGGTTATAAAGCTAGACTTGTTTTTAACCTGGCCCTAAAACCACTGAGGCTAAGACCTCGAACAAGGAAAGGAACGGGGGAAACATGGCACATGAGGGGAGATGTAAATTATTTCAAAGAATGACTCTGCCACATGTACAGAGAGGCGTCCAAGTGTGGAGGTGAAGCAGAGTGCGGCTCAGGCTGGTGACTGGATTCCTGGATCTGCCATCGGTGCTCCGAAGTGTAGGCCTGGAGAGCAGCCTGCCTTTCGCCCCTAGACTTTCCCAGCTTGCCACAAATTGCCCCAAACAATCACCAGGTGAAAGCATTTGTTCATGCCACAGGTTTTTATTGAGCACCTACTATGTGCCAGGCACAGTGCTGGTGTTGCCGAGGGGCACAAGACCAGTCCTGCCCTCATTTGTCCATGATGGTGACTGGTGAGGCTAATCAAAACCCTCGGAGGTGCCGTTCCGCCCACCTGATCAGCGTATGCTGTTCTCGACTATTCCTTTCGTTTCGCTAAGTGCTTCCCATCTCCCCACCTTCTCAAGGACTTTTAAAATGAAATGCAGACTGATAGTCTCTCAGAACGGGGTTGGGAAACCTTTATTTCTGCTGTTCCATTTTTCAGGTGGAACCACTCAGCCCCCAAGTTCATGGGGCCAGGTGCCGGGCCACAGCTTCAGTAGACCCCCTTCATCCAGTTTCTCTTTCTGTGGTTTCAGTTCCCCTGGGCAACCAGTCGGAAAATAAGTGAGTGCAGTACAACAGATGTTTTGACAGAGAGAGACACATTCACATGTTTTATTACAGTGAATTGTTATGATCGTTCTACCTTATTAATAGTTATTGTTGTTCATCTCTTACTGTGCCTGACTTACAAATTAAACTATGTCATAGGCATGTCTGTATAGGAGGAAACACAGTATATCTAGTGTTCGGTACTATTTGTGGTTTCAGGCAGCCACTGGGGGTCTGGGAATATATCTGCCATGGATAAGGGGGGACGATTGTAGATGCAGGTCTCTTGGTCTCCTGTCCCACACTTTCTCCATGTGACTCTCCACATTTGCCTTGACAGGCCCCCTGCCCTCATTTCCTCAGCATCTGTCCCTCTGCCACTGCCTCCTGCCTCAGAAACTTCTCCCCTTGACAAAGTTTACAGTTACCATGACAACTGCTTTTGTGCCCTGGCCTCCTCCCCACTGCTCTTCTCCTGCCACCGAGCAACCTCCTTATGTTCCCAATTCGTCTTTGTGGCTCTTCACGAGGCCACAACGAGTCCCCAGGTGATCACTAAAACCAGAAGGTGCCCCCTGGTGAAGGGCACACCACCAGCAGCCCAGAGTCACCCAGACCAAGACAGACTTTATTGCCCGTGCACAGACCTTGACGGCATTTGTCCATCAAGGTTTGGCCACCTCTGCGTCCTCCTGCCACCATCTAACTTGCCAGGATTTCTCTCTCACTGAGACTACTTTCCAGACTGGATTTGTGCCTGTGGCTTCAGCATTCCAAGAAGCTGGTTTGAAAGGTACGGGAATAATGCTGAGCACCAGGGCAGCCTCATGGCTGATGGCTGAATGCTAAGACAGGCTCAGGTCCAGATGAGACCGTTTGTAAACCCATCTCTCATCCTAGCAGAAAGCCGCACGCGGGCAGGTGCAGTGTTGGGGCAGGATGGTTGACAAGGGGGCAGCAGATTTAAATTTTAGAATGTGTACACCCTTTGACCCAGCAATTGCTGGGTCCACCCCACCAAGCCTATTTTAGAGAAACACATGTGCAAACACTGTCTACACAAGGGTGCTTGTGACAGTATTATTTGTAGCAGCAAAATGTTGGAAATAGCTTAAATGCCCATAAAAATAAGACTAAATTACAAGACCGCTATACTATGAAATATTATGTGGCAATTAAAAAGACTGAGATGGATCTAAATGTGCCATCATGGAAAGATCACCAAGGTGCACTGTTAAGGCAAAACAAGCTGAGAGAAACATGATTGTATGATCCTTTTTATGGTAAGAAACGGTGCATGCGTGCGTGTGTGTGTAAAACCATCTATAATAAAGACATGTATGTATGGCAAGCCCACTTACCATGTGCCAGGGAGTGTTCTAAATGCTTTACAAGCATTAATTAACTCATTTAATCCTCACGAACTCCTACGCTGTGGGTACTATTATTAGCCCCATAGTACAGATGAGGAACTTGAGGTAAAGGAGATTGGGTAACTTGCCCAAGGTCCCACTGGAACTGGGATTGGCACTCAGGTGGTCTGGCCCTAGGACCCATGTTTTTAACATATCTGCCCTCACACGCTCACACATATGATTACAAGTGCATGGGACAAAGCACAGAAACCTGCACCTGAACTTGTTCCTGGGAGCCCTTTGGGGAGGCAGAGCGAACTGTGGGGCGAGACAAAAGAGGACCTTCATTTTCTCCTTGCTATACTTTTGTGGATTTAGAATTTTTACATGTAGATATTATTTGCAACAAAAAATAAAAATAAAAAAGATTCAGGCAACAATAAAAATCACAACTCTGCTCTTTCATCAAAACTAATAAAACGTTGATGTGGATCTGAGGAGCAATGTGAGGTGGCCCTGAGACTCGGGGACCCAGACCCCAGTTCTGCCTCTCCACAGCCATGTGACCTCGTCTGCAAACCTGGAGACTTTGCTGGACTTGGGACCAGGTCTTGAGACCCCCATCTGGGCACTTGCCACCAGCTTCCCAAGGAATAAGAGGAACCACGTTAGGGAGGGCAGGTGAGGAGGCGCAGGACAGAGGCCCGAAGCAGCGCAAGAGTAGGTGGCACCAGGGAGTGCGAGCCTGGGCATCCCTGCGGCCCCTTCACTGGATGACAGTGTCACTGCTGAGTGACGCCACCAAGCACCAGCCCCTACCTGTATTTTCCCTGCTCAGTTCTCAAGAAACCCTCTTGGGTGCTGTGGTTATCAGCCCATTTTTAAGGACAAGGGAGACTGAGAGCTTCACCCTCACAAGTGGAGCAGGTTTGCAGCTGGGCCAGTCTGCCCGTCCTGGCTGCTTGGCAGGGGCAGCAGCGTCCTGCACCTGGGCCAGGGGTGTGGCACAAGAGGGCAGGTTCTGGAACCACACAGGCCTGGGAACTAGGGCCAGAGCTGCCCCTTTCCAGCTGAGAGAACTTAGCTTCTCTGCTTAGCGCTCTAAAGCTCAGTTTCATTGTTTATGAAATGGGGGCGATGGCAGTGTTGTGCGGGCGCCGTGAGAATTCAGTACCGTGCCCGATGGCGGATGGCAGGTACTCGGCTGGGTGAGGCTCAGGGGGTGTCGGTTACTGCCATGACTATAACCCCGGTCCTTTCCTCCCTCTTCAAGGAATTCAGCCAAAGTCCCAACCTGCCTCATTCTCTAAGCCCTGGCAGCACTGAGTGACCCGTGGTCCCCCGACATACTGCGCTGGCCCACACTTCAGCACTTGGCACTAGTGTCCCTCTGTCCTCTTGTCTGTGTCGGTCTTGTCAGCCTCAGTGGAAACATCACCACCTCCCACCCGAGTGGTACCTCCTCTCTGGGCTACGGCAGCACGCGGTCCGCACCCCATCTCTCCTCCCACCCCACCAGGGCCTGGGGACTTGCCCGTCTCACCTCTGATTAGGCTGTGAGCGCTGGGCTGCTGTCCTTCTGCTCGTGTTCCCAGCGACTGGTCCAGCAGCTGACAGCACAGGAAAGAGACTCAGACTTTGCTGATCAGGGGAATTGAAGATAAGGAGGAAGGTAAACGGTGGGGCCTGGCCTTGGGGTGCAGAGAAAAGGCAGCCAGTCGCTGCAGCGTGGTGAGGCCCTAACTAACACAGCGCAGGCAGAGCGGGAGAAGAGCTCACGTCCACCCAGCTGGGGCCCCTTGGGAACGGCCCTGGGCCTGGACTGACCTGAAGTCCACCTTGCCTGTCTTGTCGTCCAGCCTCTTTATCAGCTCCCTTACTTGGTACTGGTTGACAGGGACCTTATCTTGCTGAGGAGGTGAACAGAACACGTGAGGTTAATGAAGCTCTCTGCCCACCCCTTGAGAAGACCCCTCCCCAATACTCACACACAGTCGTGCACACGCACGTGCACGCACACACACACGCACACACACGCCACAATGCCTTGCTCCTCTTGGGACCATGGATGGTCGAGGAAACTGAACCCACAACCTGCAGGGGCTGCATGAAGTCCCCACCCATGAGTCATTATCCAGACTCCAGAGGGCCCCCATTTCCCGGGGAGTGGTAAGGGGAAGGAGCTCAGGGCCCAGGTGACACAGGTGGCCCTGGGGTGGACAGGAACTCTCCTCTGCAGCATATGAGGTCCCCTCTTCCTGCTGCTGAGTCCTGGCCAGTCCAATTCACACAAGGCCTGGGCACCGAGTGTCTTTTTCGCCCCTGCGTGGGCCCCAGAACTTCCCCTTCTGAGTCCTATTCTTGCAGGTCCAGTTCCCTCCTAGGACGCTCTGACGATGGACCCTCCAAGTGTGCATTTCAGGGGGACTTCAGCACCTTGGTCGTACGGAGAGTGGGGGGAATGTGGGATTTTAGGCAAGATGATAGGGCCAAGGGTGGAAATACTGGGGCTTTGGGATGAGGTCTCTTCTCAGTCCCATTTTCATCTGCCCAGCAGCCAAATGCAGTGAGGAGAGGGGCCTGCAAGATGGACAGCGTGTGTCTTTAGGTGGCACCTTGGGCCATCAGTAGCATCAAGCCCTACAGCTGGTGGCACAGAGGATGATGTCAGCAGGGGGTCGAGGAAGCCTTAGGCTTCCCTCTGGGTCTAGACAATGACACGAGTGTCCTGGGGCCAATCCCAGGAAGCTCTAAGGGGTGTTTGTGCCTCTCTACTTCCCTCCCCCCCCTTTCCCTGTCTCTGTTTCTGTGTGTGTGTGTCTCTCTCTGTCTCACACATACACACACACAGCCCGCAGCCACCAGCCGTCAGCACACCTGCACCATGGCTTTTCGGAACTCGCCCACAGGCATCTCCATTGCTCCAGTAGGGCTCAAGTGCTTGAAGAAGTCCACGACTGCGATTTTGTGCTGGTCTGCATAGCTCTGAGTGAAGCAAGAGACAAATGCTTGGCCTTATAACAATGGTCGCAGCTCCCCTCCTTTCCCCAAAAGGGTGGCCCAAACTCCCAGGTGTAGAAAGGTGGAGGAGAATGCTAGCGGTTGTCCATGCTGCGGCATAAACAGGCTGGGGCTTGGCAGGGTGGCATGCCACGATGGTTCCTGGGCGCTGGCCTGGTTCCCAGCAGCCCCACCCCACCCAGCAGGGGCTCCCCCCATCCCAAAGGTGGAAGGAGTGACCTCCATGCTGCAAAGGAGCCACAGCATACAGGGAATAGGGCTGGTGACCACATTTACGTGTGTGAATTACCTCCGTTAAGACTAGTCTAGGTGGTGCACTGTAGATGGTGGGCGGGCCGTTGTTAGCTCAGTGATCAAAAGATTAAGCCGCAGCCATGTAGTGTGATGGGTTGGACAGACTCTAGGAATTCTTAGGATTCTCAGAGTTTCACTCACATGCTCATATGGAGACGTATTTTGTTAGAATACTTTAAAAATAATATTTCATCATTTTCATTTCGAAAACATTACCTACTCATATTGCAAGGCGATTTTAGATTGGCAGAAAGAAGACAATAAAAAACAACCCATAAATCCAATCCCACCATCCAGAGGTAACATCTTGGTGTGTATCCTTTTATCCATCTGTCTGTCTGTCTGTCTACCTACCTATCTAATATTTACCTATCATTTTTTTTTATTGCATCTACTGTTTTACAAAATGCACTGTATTGATACATTGTGAGCATCTTTTCAATGGCATTAAAATATTTTGGGGCCCTTATCTTTTTCTCTTCCCCTCCTGTTCTCAAAAGCTCCCAGATAGGTCCTACTGTATTGACAAATACTCCTATAGAGCTGTAGAGGACAGATATTCATGGGGGAATTTTCGGGGTTCAGCTCCTGGTCCCCTGCTCTTTTTCCCCACACTTCCCTTTCTGCAGTGCGCTACCACGCACCCTTTTGAGGTGACTCCCACACCTACATTTCCAGTTCTGCATCTCAACAGCTGCAGGACACCCTACTAGCACCTCAACCCAACACATCCAAAGTAAATCTCATTCAGCTTAATTCTGCACAGTGGTCCTGAGAGCTGTGGTCCTAAGCCCCACTCCAGTTCCTTCTTAGTGTGCTTTCCTATAATGCAGAGGCCGGAAAGCTAAAAATTGACATTTCCAACCCCCCTTGCGGCTAGGGGTCAGAGGGGATGGGTTTCACCGAGTACCTGTATGAGATCTGTGCGTGTGAGACTCGTATGAGAAGTCTGCTTTGGAGAGAAGCAGGCCATGGGAGGCTGCAGTGCTTGCTTTCTGACTGAGCAGGGACTCCCGATGGTGCAGCTTCCTGATCACAGCAGAAGCAGCAACCATCTTGGCAACCCCGTTGGAGTGTTTTGGGAGCCATTTTTAGATTCTAAATTAAGAGTCTGTTTCTTCCACCCTCCCAGTGTTTCTGTGGTCTATCTCTTGTAATAAATCCCTCTGTGCTTACCCTAGCTAGAGCAGATTCTGTGGTCAGTAATGAAGAACCCTGGCCAGTTCCAGGGTCTGTTGCTTTGGTGGGTGCTGTTGATAAGAAGCAGCTGAGCCCCTGCCCTGGAGGAGGTGGCAGTGTTGCAGTGCAAAGGTACAGCCGGGGGCGGGGACCATGGCAAGGGCATGTACTGTGGACTAGGGAATCTGAGAAAGGTTCCCCATGGAAGTGACGCTTGAGTAGAGACCTGGAGAACAGGTAGGACTGAGCTGACGCAGAGGGCAAGGAGACGCGTGTCCCAGGCACAGGCCTGGAGTTAACAGAGAACTGATGCACAGAGGGACAGGGAGCAATCCAGAGGCTCGAATGTGGAGAACGGGGGAGCAGCAGGCAGGGCCCCATCCGGACTTCCCTGCCTCTGGCAATGTCACCCTCTGTCTCTCAGCCTCCTGGGCTTAAAATTTGGGACTGCCTTTGGGTCTCCCTTATCACCACAGGCCTCCCTTCTCCCAACACATACACACACCCCTGACCAGCCACCAAGTCCTGGAGATGTTTCCATGATGATACCTCTTACATCCGTCCTTCATGTCCGTTGTCATTCTCTGTCACTATTTCACATCTTGGATACTCCAGTAGTGTCTTCACTGGTTTTCCCACTCTCATTTCTACCCCCTTCAGTTCATTTCACTCCCCATTGCCAGAAAAGTCTCCCCCCTCAGTCCAACTGGGTTCACACCACATCCACTGTTTACAAATGCTCTCGCCGGCTCCCTGCTCTCCATGGAATCAAACCTGAACTCTGAGCCTAAAATGTGAGGACTGCCACATCCAGCCCAGCCTCCCCTGCCAGCTTTGACTTCCAGGTTTCTCTATGGCTGGAGCCACGTGGTTGTTCTGTAAGAGCCATGTGGTTCTGTTCACATCCCCCAAACATGCTGCAGGCAGTCCCACTGAGTGCAGTCCCACCGAGCGCAGTCCCACTGAGTGCAGTCCCACTGAGTGCAGTCTCACTGAGTGCAGTCTCACCGAGCGCAGTCCCACTGCAGGAAATCCCACCGAGTGCAGTCCCACTGCAGGCAATCCCACGGAGTACAGTCCCACGGATTGCAGTCTCACCGAGCGCAGTCCCACCGAGTGCAGTCCCACTGCAGGCAGACCCACCGAGTGCAGTCCCACCGAGTGCAGTCTCACCGAGTGCAGTCCCACTGCAGGCAGTCCCACCGAGCACAGTCCCTCTGAGTGCAGTCTCACCGAGCGCAGTCCCACTGCAGGCAATCCCACCGAGCGCAGTCCCACTGCAGGCAATCCCACCGAGCGCAGTCCCACTGCAGGCAATCCCACCGAGCGCAGTCCCACCGAGTGCAGTCTCATCGAGCGCAGTCTCACTGCAGGCAATCCCACTGCAGGGAATCCCACCGAGTGCAGTCTCACCGAGCGCAGTCCCACTGCAGGCAGTCCCACTGCAGGCAGTCCCACTGCAGGCAGTCCCACCGACTGCAGTCCCACTGCAGGGAATCCCACTGAGCGCAGTCCCACTGCAGGCAATCCCACCGAGTACAGTCCCACTGCAGGCAGTCCCACCGAGCGCAGTCCCACTGCACGCAATCCCACCGGGCGCAGTCCCACTGCAGGCAGTCCCACTGCAGGCAGTCCCAACGAGCACAGTCCCACTGCAGGCAGTCCCACCGAGCGCAGTCCCACTGCAGGCAATCCCACCGAGCGCAGTCCCACTGCAGGCAGTCCCACCGAGTGCAGTCTCACCGAGTGCAGTCCCACTGCAGGCAATCCCACCGAGTGCAGTCTCACCGAGTGCAGTCCCACTGCAGGCAATCCCACCGAGTGCAGTCTCACCGAGCGCAGTCCCACTGCAGGAAATCCCACCGAGTGCAGTCTCACCGAGCGCAGTCTCACTGCAGGCAGTCCCACTGCAGGCAGTCCCAACGACTGCAGTCCCACTGCAGGGAATCCCACCGAGCGCAGTCCCACTGCACGCAATCCCACCGAGTGCAGTCTCACCGAGCGCAGTCCCACTGCAGGCAGTCCCACCGAGCGCAGTCCCACTGCAGGCAGTCCCACCGAGTGCAGTCCCACTGCACGCAATCCCACCGAGTGCAGTCCCACTGCAGGCAATCCCACCGAGTGCAGTCTCACCGAGTGCAGTCCCACTGCAGGCAATCCCACCGAGTGCAGTCTCACCGAGTGCAGTCCCACTGCAGGCAATCCCACCGAGTGCAGTCCCACTGCAGGCAATCCCACCGAGTGCAGTCCTACTGCAGGCAATCCCACCGAACGCAGTCCCACTGCAGGCAATTCCACCGAGCGCAGTCCCACTGCAGGCAATCCCACTGAGCGCAGTCCCACTGCAGGCAGTCCCACTGAGCGCAGTCCCACTGAGTGCAGTCTCACCGAGCGCAGTCCCACTGCAGGCAGTCCCAACGAGTGCAGTCCCACTGCAGGCAGTCCCAACGAGTGCAGTCCCACCGAGTGCAGTCTCATCGAGTGCAGTCCCACTGCAGGCAATCCCACCGAGCGCAGTTCCACTGCAGGCAGTCCCAACGAGTGCAGTCCCACTGAGTGCAGTCTCATCGAGCGCTGTCCCACTGAGTGCAGTCTCACCGAGCGCAGTTCCACTGCAGGCAGTCCCAACGAGTGCAGTCCCACCGAGTGCAGTCTCACTGAGCGCAGTCCCACTGCAGGCAATCCCACCGAGCACAGTCCCACTGCAGGCAATCCCACTGAGCGCAGTCCCACTGTAGGCAGTCCCACCGAGCGCAGTCCCACCGAGCGCAGTCCCACTGCAGGCAGTCCCACCGAGCGCAATCCCACTGCAGGCAATCCCACCGAGCACAGTCCCACTGCAGGCAATCCCACCGAGCACAGTCCCACTGCAGGCAATCCCACCGAGCGCAGTCCCACTGCAGGCAGTCCCACTGCAGGCAATCCCACCGGGTGCAGTCCCCCCTCTGCCTTGGCTGGTGGGAATCCCCGTCCCAGAACACCCTCCCGTGCCCGTGGCTCGCTGAATCCTTTCCACTCTTCAAGGCCCTTCCCAATCCCATCTCTGCTAGGAAGCCACGCTTTTCTGTTCGCCTGCTCCTATAATCTCTAATTTGGATTCTGATTCTATTTGCTGCCCTTGTCTCTTGTTTATTGTTCATCATATTACACTTTCTATTGGTCATTACTGTTTCTTTTCTTTCTTTTTTTTTTTTTTTAAAAGATGACCGGTAAGGGGATCTCAACCCTTGGCTTGGTGTTGTCAGCACCACGCTCAGCCAGTGAGCAAACCGGCCATCCCTACATAGGATCCAAACCCGTGGCCTTGGTGTTATCAGCACCGCACTCTACCGAGTGAGCCACGGGCCGGCCCAAGGGTCATTACTGTTTCTGTCCCATCTTTCCAACCAGATCATTGGGCCCCCGAGGGGAAGGACCATGTTTTACACTGCCAGTCTGGTCTCCACTCCAAGATTCTCTCTCTATGCTCTTTTAAAACAAGGGGTGGGGCCCCCACTTGGCATCAGACAACTCCATTCCTGTTCACTGGGACATCCTGCTCCCCTTGCAGAATGGGTTTCCCCTTGGTTCTATCTAAAGTCATCTCACTCATAAAAGTACTTAATACCCCTTTGCCTTCTAGAATTTTCACACAAGAGCTCTTTATTTAGTCCTGGAAACTGAGGCACAGAGCAGACCAATCAGGCGCAAGTAGCACCGTCGCACACACACTCTGCAGAACCTGCACTTGACAGCATCATCCTGTTCCTGCTTCTCCAAATAGCAGCCGGTCTGCAACCAGCATCAGGCTCCTCACCTCCACCGCCGGGTGAGAGGCCAGTGGTGGACACGCCAGACCTGGGTGTGGTCACTGCTCTGTGAGGCGATGGGACTAGATGAGCAATAACATCCCTTTCGGCTCTAATATTCTCTGATTTTTTATTTCCACTGTTACATTTGCCTCCTGTGATTGCCAGATACAATCTAAGACTCAAGCCAGGTGCAGGTTAGCTCTAGAAATAAAGGACTCAGGTGTTCTCCTTTAGCAAAAGCCACCAAATAGCCATCATGACCACAGGGATGTCTTGGCATCTGTATGAACTGCTGGAGTGAACCTGTGTTTATTGGGTGCTTATTATATGCCAGACATTCTTCTAAGCACTTCGTGCATATTACGTAATTTAGTCTTCCAAGCAACCCTACCAGGGTGGGTACTATTATTATGCCCATCTTAAAGGTGAAGAGACTGAGGCACAGAGAGCTTCAGTGACTTGCCTTTGGGCATATATTAGCAAGTGGAGGAGCCTGGGTAGGAGAATCCATCCTGTGCCAAGCCACTCCCACTTCAGCCCAATCTCAGTTCTTCCCTTCTTCTGGGAGTTGAGAAGCACTGCTGAGAGATCCGACATCTGCAGGGAATATTCCATGCCTGCAGCCCAAGGGACTGAGACATTCCTTGTCAGAGAGGATTGTGCAGACACTTTGGGGAAAGGGAAACTCTGGGTAGATGATTTGCACCCAAGGCCAGCTTTCTCTAGGGCTCCCTGGAGGCTCTGAGAGGAAGGCAGGAGCTCACCTGGATCAGTTTCATGGGGTCTGTCCACAGGAGGATGGTTTTCTTGGCCGAGAGCATTTGCACTGCTTTGTATACCACGTCCAGCTGGGGGTGAACAGCATACACTCCGTCCAGTATTTTCGTGAACTGCTCAGATACCAGCACATTCTGTGGCAGGGAGAGAGGGGAACCAATGGCCAGGGCACCGCCATTGTGCCACTCCCTGCTGATGAGTGGGCCCTCCCTATCCCACCCAAACCCAACTCAGGAAGTTTCATCTTTTCCAGTTTGTTCTACAATGCTGCTCCTAGTGGGATAGTTCTGGTGTTTTAGAGCTTGTGATTTGACTTGTGTGTTTCCTACATGATTTTGTCCAGAGCTTCCGTTGAGTGCTGGTGACTCGTCACATGCTGCCAACTCAGTTCTGCTCTCAGATGGTGAGCATAAGTGTCTGCGTGCAATGGACAATACACAACTATGGATTTGGGACACTGGTCCTTTAAAAAAACATCCTGAAGTGTTTATGTCTATGTGAGTGTTGTTCTTCAGAGCAGGTGCCCTAGAAGAGGACGCTTTATTCCAACAATCCTGTCATGGCTCAAAACAAACTGGGAACTCCCCTTTCAAAAGTGCCCTCAAAGCTGATGTACAGGACCTGGGAGAATATGTGTTCTGTGAAATAGTGTGATCAAAACCAGCCTTTTCCAGTTTGACCAACCTGCTTCATTCCTCAGATGTGGTTCAGAGTACCTTTTGCCTTTTTAAAGAATTAAACCCATGCTTATGGGCTAAAGACTGTAGATATTCTAGAGAAAATTCTAGAAGCATCTACAAAGGAGGAATTCCAACACCGTTTAGAGTTATGGCGGCATCACTGATAAAAGGGAAGGAAAAGGCTAATTCAGACTTATTTGTTTTGGTAGGCTTGTTAAGTGGCAATGTGATTGCATTCATCACGGGCCTACACAGCTCTGTTTCTAACATTCCCTCAAACATGCCAAGGCAGTGCCTGGGTCCATGCCTTCAACCTGCACTGCAGGGGAAAAAACAAATTCCAACCAAAACTGAACCTGTGGCTGAGGCTCAGAGGCAGGGGTGGTGGGGGCTAAGGTAGCATCTGGGGTGCAAAGTCAGAGCTGGAGTACGGGGTGGAGGACAGGGCTCTGAGGAGAAAGACCCAGGAGCACAAGAAGGGGTTGGGGCAGAGAGGAGGGGTGAAGAACACAGTGTAAGGAAAAGCAGCTATGTTTTTATAATGCTTCGTAATATGTGGCAAGTAGAAATCCAAATTTTGCTAACTACGGAGCTTGGGTTTAAATGTTCAAAGTTTCATCCCTGATATAATTGCAAGGCATTAAAGTATTCTTACAGGGACTGGCCGGTTAGCTCACTTGGGAGAGTGTGGTACTGATAACTCCAAGGTCAAGGGTTTGGATAACCACATAGGCCAGCCGCCAAAAAAAATCTTACAAAACATCATATTTGTGTGGCATTAAAAAATGTAAAAGGATTTTTTTTTTTTGTCTTTTGTCTTTTTCCGTGTCCGGCAACGGATCGCAACCCTCAGTGTTGCCCCCGTACCGGACCGGGGACCGGCAACGGGATTGCAACCCTCGGTGTTGCCCCCGCGCCTCGCTCAGCCAGTGAGCGGGAACCGGTCTGTATGTGGGATCCGAACCCTCGGGCGGGAGCGCCGCAGCGCTTCCCAAGCGGCGCACTATCCAGTGCGCCACCAGGCCGGCCTAAAAGGACTTTACCATGGTAACTTTATAGGACTCTAGAGTAGAGGCAGAAGCCCAGGGGCTTACTCCTTGCTGTGTTTCTCATTTGCTGTGCATCCTGGGCAAATGACCTAACCTCTCTGTTTCAGCTTCCTTATATGTAAAATAGGAAAATGAGAAAAAGTACTTGTTTGGGGTTGACTTTCCTTCCTCCCTCCAAAAAGATGTTGAAGTCCTAATCCCCAGTAGCTGTGAATGTGAACTGATTTGGAAATAGGGTTTTTACAAATGATCAAGCCAGAATGAGGCCATTAGGGTGGGCCCTAATCCAATATGACGGTGACCTTATAAAAAGGGGACATTTGGATACAGAGACAGACATGCACACAGGGAGAAAGCCCTGTGAAGCAGAAGGCAGAGACTGGGGTGATGCTTCTACACACAAAGGAACGCTAAGGATTGCCAGCAACCAGCAGCAGCTAGGAGAGAGGTCTGGAACAGGTTCTTCCCCCCACCCCTCAGAAGGAACTAACCCTGCTGACACCTTGATTTTGGACATCCAGCCTCTGGAACTGAGAGAGAATACATTTCTGTTGTCTAAGCCACCCAGCGTGTGGTACTTTCTCACAGCTGCCCTAAGGTATTAATACAATACTCTACCTACCTCCTAGAGTAGGATCCAATGAGATGACATATATAAAACCACTTTTGGGAAAAAAAGAATATAAAATGGTAGACAAGTACAGAATATTGTTATTACCAGCTACCGCTCTATGCTGATTCAGGAAGAGTACCTGGGAGGAGTCTGAAGTCACCTCCTTGGGCTTCCCTCTTCCTTCAAGAGATTTGCACTCTCCAATACTACTGAGTATAATAGGCCAAGTCATGAAATGAAAATACAAGTTTGTGTATGTTTTAATACTCAGATTCTAAAAGTCCTGTGATTCTGGAACCATCCTGGGATCCAGGGCCATTCATTAGCAAAGCTGATGGTGAACAAATTCTGTTGTGGAGTCCTCCCACCTTCTATTTGGTGTTTCCTTATCTCTACGCTCAGGTGTTCACATTCTGAGGTCCCAGGATCCGGTAAATTATTTCTCACTGTCATGTTATTGACTGAATGGCTCCTCCTACTGAAAGGATCCCTGGAGAGGCCAGAGTTGTAGCAAAAGGAGTGACCTTTCCATGGAGCATTTGTGTGAGGGCCTGGGAGAGAGAGCTGATGACACGGCCGACACAGAGTGGGCATGCATGGTGACTGGCTCACACCCTGGTGCAAGCCACTACCATTTGATCACTTACGGAAATGTCAAGCTCTTCCATCCTGGATTTGGGGTTCCTCTTGATGGACAGGATAAGTAAAACAGCCCCATCCATACTTAGAGGGTTCAGGAAAAGCTGTGGAAAGAGGAGTGGGACAGGAGGAGGCTGAGATGGGGGCAGGAGAGGCTGGCTCAGAGCACAGCTTCCACTTATTATCAAATCACAGCCTGTGTCTTCCTCCCAGACTTCTCTGTAAGTATCTGTCTTCCTAACCATCTACCTGCCCATCCATTCACCCACCTGTCCATCTCACTGCCCATCCATTCACCCACCTGTCCATCTCACTGCCCATCCGTCCCTCTATCCACCCACCTGTCCGTCTCACTGCCCATCCATCCCTCTATCCACCCACCTGTCCGTCTCACTGCCCATCCATCCCTCTATCCACCCACCTGTCCGTCTCACTGCCCATCCATCCCTCTATCCACCCACCTGTCCGTCTCACTGCCCATCCATCCCTCTATCCACCCACCTGTCCGTCTCACTGCCCATCCATCCCTCTATCCACCCACCTGTCCGTCTCACTGCCCATCCATCCCTCTATCCACCCACCTGTCCGTCTCACTGCCCATCCATCCCTCTATCCACCCACCTGTCCGTCTCACTGCCCATCCATCCCTCTATCCACCCACCTGTCCGTCTCACTGCCCATCCATCCCTCTATCCACCCACCTGTCCGTCTCACTGCCCATCCATCCCTCTATCCACCCACCTGTCCGTCTCACTGCCCATCCATCCCTCTATCCACCCACCTGTCCGTCTCACTGCCCATCCATCCCTCTATCCACCCACCTGTCCGTCTCACTGCCCATCCATCCCTCTATCCACCCACCTGTCCGTCTCACTGCCCATCCATCCCTCTATCCACCCACCTGTCCGTCTCACTGCCCATCCATCCCTCTATCCACCCACCTGTCCGTCTCACTGCCCATCCATCCCTCTATCCACCCACCTGTCCGTCTCACTGCCCATCCATCCCTCTATCCACCCACCTGTCCGTCTCACTGCCCATCCATCCCTCTATCCACCCACCTGTCCGTCTCACTGCCCATCCATCCCTCTATCCACCCACCTGTCCGTCTCACTGCCCATCCATCCCTCTATCCACCCACCTGTCCGTCTCACTGCCCATCCATCCCTCTATCCACCCACCTGTCCGTCTCACTGCCCATCCATCCCTCTATCCACCCACCTGTCCGTCTCACTGCCCATCCATCCCTCTATCCACCCACCTGTCCGTCTCACTGCCCATCCATCCCTCTATCCACCCACCTGTCCGTCTCACTGCCCATCCATCCCTCTATCCACCCACCTGTCCGTCTCACTGCCCATCCATCCGTCTATCCATCCATTCATCCGTCCAACAAATACTTATTGGAGGCCTGCCATGTGCCAGCCACTGGGCTAAGCCCTGAGGGACATGGTTTCTGAGGGACAGGCACTGAGAGAGAGGCAGACATGACAAGGTTTCTGCCCTCAGGTAGCTTAACACTGTAGTTGGGGGAGACAATCAAATGGCATCAGACATGTGATGACTGCAGTGACAGAGGTACACACAGGCACTGCAGGAGCAAGGAAAGGGGAGGGGACCCTGGAGCTAAGCCTTGCAGGACTAATGGGGATGAGTCAGATCTGAAGAAGGTGGGAGGAGGACCAGAGATGGGAATAGGATTCACCAAAGAAGAAAAGGGTAGAGAAGTGCAAAGGTGTAGGGAGGTGTGGAACAGCCTGAGGTGTCTGTGAGCAGGAGCAGGGAGAACGAGGCACAAGGCTGGGAGGGGCCACATCGCAGAGGACCTTGTGGGCTTAGCTAAGAAATGAGGACATTATCCCAATGGTGCTGGGCGCCACTGAAGCACGGATGGACGGTAAGAGCAGGGAACATGGGGCTTGGTGGCTCTGCTTACAAGCTGCCCAGCCTTGCACTAATTTCCTGACCACTTCGTACAATCACCTATGGCCGCTCTGAAGATTCAACGTGTCAGTTCAGGCAAAGAATTCCAAAGAATACCTGGTACACAGCAAGCAGTGAGTGAGCATTAGTTATTATTATGGAAGGCTTCAGGATGGGTGTTTTCATGATGAGGCAGGCCGAAACTTTTATTGAGCACCTACTATGTGTCAGGTATTTCCTAGGCTCTGATATACTACAGTAAGGAAATACAGACGTGAGCCCTGCCCCCGTGGAGCTTAGCATCTAGAATCTTTTGCTGGACTCACTTGCCAAGGGGAATTCCTTACTTTTCCAAGATTAGGGGAAGGGGGACTAGGGCTGGATGTGGAGAACAATAGATAATTCTATGGCAAAGTTGATGTGGTCTCCGCCTGTGACCAAACTAAGAGTTTTGCTTTAAACTTTTCTCTTTCACTTCTAAAATATTTTCAAAAATTAAAACACATTTCTTACACATGCTCATTGTGGAAAAATTAGAAAAGAGGTAATGTTTTCAATTGCCTGTACCCCACTAAGTAGAGACAACCCCTGTTGCCGTTTTGCTGAGGCAACTTCTTAACGTTTTAAAATTCAGATTCTCAGAACTCTCTTTGGCTTAGCCACTGAGGCTGAATCACTCACAGCCGGGGTCAGTCTGTCTTGTCTGAGCTATGCCTGGTTCCCCTCCACCCATGCCGGGGCTTCCAGCTCTCCTGGTCTGCAGCCACCATGCTCCCTCTGCCAGTCAGAATGCAGCTTCCTCTTGTCCCCGTGGCAGGCAAGCTCAGCCTCACTATTTCCTCATGGCCCTTTTCCTTCCACCAGGACCCCACATCTGTGGTGCCCCCAACCACCCCACATCCTCAGGGAGCTGGAGTTGCCACAGAAAGCCAGGCAGAGCTGGCTTTGCTCTGCCTCTTGCAAGCTGTGAGGCCTGAGCAAGGCACACAGCCTCAGTTTCCTCATCTGACAAGTGCAGCTAATAGAGGCCACTTTGCCAGGTTGGGCTATGAATGAGGATGAATCACCTGATATGGGAGCCCCAGAAAGGGGAACCAGTCATAGAAGTCCCCGACTTTCATGTTTTTCAAAAAAAGAAGCTTCTGTGTTATAAATTAGCATCTACAGGCAAATTAATTTAAGATTAAATATGCATTGATTCTTTCATTTAATAAATATTCATCAGGCATCTACCATGTGCCCAGCACTATGCTGGGTACGAGGGTATAATAATGGGCAAAAGCAAGCACAGTCTTTGTTCTCAGGAAGCTTTCATGCTAGTGGAGGGGACAGAAGGCCAAGGAGTCCCTCAAATGAGAGCGTAATTACAAACAGCAGCAAGTTCTGCAGGAAGGAGTGAGAGGGTTCTGGGAACAGATAAGCTAGACAGAGGATTCCGGCGGGCTCCCTGAGGAGCTGCTGCCTGAGCTGCTCTCTGAAGTGAGCAGTAATTAAAGCCAGTGGGGCAGAGCAGTGGAAGGAGAAAGGGCAGCAGCCACGACCTTGGGCCAGGGCGAAAGGAGAGGGGAGGAGACCAGGAGGCCTGGGTGGAAAGCAAGGGAGAACATGGTGTAAACTGAGGCCAGAGAGGCACACAGGGATCAGAGAACTGGATCTGAGCAAGAGGAGGCCATTGGTAGCGTGGGAGGTGGGGGGAAATCTAAGCTGGAAGGGAATAGATTGGGGGTGGAGGGAGTGGAAGTCACATTTGTCTTTAAGAAGCACACACTGGCTGCTGCATGGGGAAAGCCTGAAGGAGACCCAGATGGGAGATGACTGCAGTACACCAGGGAGAACCGGGGATGACACTGGATTTGCAGCAGAAAGATAGTCAAGAATACATGCATGTATGAAGTACAAGACAGAGGTTCCCAACGATTCTCCAGCAATGTCCAGCCCCATCACCCCCCCGCACACAGACGCACGGCGGCCCGGCCCGGCTTAGGTAAAGACTACCTTCAGAACTTTGAGGCTTTCGTTGTATTCCAGTCCTTTGCTGATTTTGGAGGCTCCTTCATTGCTGATGTTATTGCTGCTGACATCTAGGTAGGTCAGGCAGCTGTTGAGTCTAAGGACCTCCCCAAGGGCCAGAGCCCCATCGTTCCCAAAGCCATTCATGGAGAGATTCAGTTTCTTCAGGGTCACATTAGTCTCCAGAGAGAGGGGAGAACAGCACCAGCATCAAGGTTGTGTGTCACTCATCCAGACAAATGGGCCCTGATTCCTATCCCCTGCTGCCATCCAGGCTGGGTGCTCAGTGGTCCCCAGGAGCGATCTGCCAGATCATTCCAGATCCCTCCCAGATGGGCTCAGAATCTCAAGTACTCTTGAGATTAATTCCCTTTGGGTTCTGGTCATTCCCCATCTCCTAATTAAATTGCCCTCTTGAAGTGTCCCTGAAGATGCCACCCAGATCTCAGCAGGTTGGATTTACACTAAAGAATAACATATCCAGGAATCGTGGAAAGAAGACCAACAACGCAAAAAACATTTGAGGAGAGTTCAGTGCGCCCTCATCCATGGTGACCATGCCGAAGAGGTTCAACAGGGTGGACAGGAGGCCCTGGCCATCTTCACCTGGGTTCAAAACACCACTCCCAGAGAGCACCTTACCCGGAGGCCATTGCACAAGGCCACAGCTCCCCGCATGTGGAAGTGATTCCAGCTCAGATCCAGCGACTGGAGCCCTACATTGAGGCCTGGAAGAGGAGGGGAGTCAGCCCAGCATCTCCTATGTCCCAAAGAACCCAGTCTCTGAGTCAACACATATCCATGACACTGGGGATTAGGATAACCCAATGGTCATCCAAAGTAAAACACTAAGATAATAATTTTTTCAGTAATTCATTTAAACACAAAATTGTAAGACGATCCCTAACGCTGGCAAAGATGTAGTGAAATCATCATATTCATATATTAAAGGTGGCAAGAACATTGATATAATCTGTTCGGAAAATATATTATGATCACATATTTTCTCATTAAAATGTGTATATCCTATCACACAACAATATCACCCCTGAGACTCTACCTAAGACAGCACGGAATATGGGAAGAGCCAGATGCTCGTAGATGTTTACCATGGCATCACTATAAAAGCAAGATTAGTGACTCACAGGGGAAGGGTAAAGTATGTTAAAAATATCCACCTGCATAACGTATACCTTCAGTCCTGACCTCTTCATCAAGCTCTGAACTCACGTGGAAACTGCCTGACATCTCCACGTAGGTGTTGAATGGCCCTCGCAAACGTATATGGCCAAAGTGCAAACCTGGACTCCTAACTCCTGCTCCTCCGTAGCTGTCACGCCCTGAGCTCCCCCATCTAAGTAAGTGACATCATCCAGCCAGTAGCTGAAGCAAAATGACGAGTTGATCTTTATTTCTCCTTTCCCCTCATTCTTCATATCAGCAAGTCCCCTTGGCTTTACCCCCAAAATGAATTCTGAATGCATCCGCTCCTCTCTACCGCCACCTCCTGCCTGAGCTCAGCTATTATCCTGTCTTGCCTAGACCAGCACAGTAACCCCCAGTAGGTCTCCCTTCTTCCATTCTTGTTCTACTCCACTGCATTCTTCTAACACTGCAAATCAATGTTCCTCTCCCACTTAACACCTTCCGATGACTCCATCACACGTGGAACAAAATCCAGACTTTGTCCACATCATGGCTCACAAAGCCTGTCATGATCTGGCTAAGGGCCACCTCCATGACCTCTCCTCATCTGCCCTCCTCCCTGTCCTCTCCGCTCTGGCCACACTGTCCCCTCATGTTCCTCAAGCATGCCAAGCTCTGTTCTTTCTGCCTGGAATGCCACGCCTCCAGAACCAAGAACGGTTATTTGTTCTTGGTCATTCAGGTCTCAGCAAAAAGCCACCTTCCCTGTGGGCCTTTCTCTCACCGCCCTGTCTAAATAAGCACCCCTCTCCCACCGTCTGAGTGTCCTCCTCTCCTCTACCCATTTGCTCAGGGATGACTATTTACGTTGTTTCTGGCTTTTTTTTCTTTTATAACAATGCTACAATAACTGGCTCCGACATCTCTCCAGAGCTTCTCTGAGACATGTAGAGTAAATGCTGCATCACAGAAGGCACACACTTTCCATTTTACTGGACACTATCAAATTGTTCTCCAAAGCGCCTTTACCTAGCAGCTTGTGAGTGTTATTTTTCCCCACTGTCTGCAGCATTTGATATTTGCTGACTTTAAACTTTTGCACTTTGGGTGGATGACAAGGGGAATCTATTTCTTGTTTTATTTTGCATTTCTCTAATAACTAAAGAGGTTGGGCATTTGGTATCTGTAGTGGGTTGAATTATGTCCTCCCAAAACTCCCTGAAACTTGAATTGTGTCCCCCAAGTTTTATGTATTAAAAACTTGGCCCCCACTGTGACTGTTAAGAGGGGGAAATCCTATTACGGTAATTGAAAGGTGGAGCCCTGAAGAGGTGATTGGATTGTAGGACCCTGGAGTAGTGAATGGATTAAAAATGGTGGTCAGGGGCGTGGTTCTGAGGGCTTTAATAGGAGAGGGGAGTCTGTCTCTCTCTCTCTCTGCCCTCTCTGCTCCCACCATCTTGCAATGTGAGACCCCTGGGTCACTGTTGCCACCACCAGATGGACTTCAGACTTCCCAGCCTCAGAAACTGTAAGCAATAAATGTTTTTCTTTATAAACTACCCAGTTCCATGTATTTTGTTATAAGCAACACAAATGGACTAATACAGTATCTTCTTTTGCTATCCACATTCCTTGACCATTATTCTATGGGGGGTACTTACATTTAATTTATCTATAGGATCTTTTATTAATATTCTGAATACTGATCTTTTATTTTATACAAATGCTGAAAATATCTACTCCCTGTCTGTTGCTTGTCTTTTGAGGTTATTCATGGGGTCTTTTATCACACGCATGCTTTAGATGTACTATTGTCAGATACGTGAATTGTTGTTGTTGCAGTTCGTGCTTACTGTGCCATGTTTAATAATCCTTAGTGTCCCTGAGGTCAGCAGTTTATTTCTCTACATGTTCTTCTAATCATTGCAAAGTTTTACTTCTCACATCCAGGTTTTTGTTTCATTTGAAAGTATTTGGGGCATGGTTTACATCATTTTTCTAATCAGAACATTCAAAAATAATTTTACAAAGGAGATTCAGCTCTGACAAGTAACCTTCCCCAAATCTCGTTCCCTTTGCTGGCCCCTTCCCTCCATGGGAGACCTACCCAGCATCTGTCCCAGGTGCTCTCCTCCCACATCAGAGAATTGGTTATGACTGAGATCCAGATTCTTAATTCGGTAATTGGACTAGAGAAACAAACAGTGGAAGGAGAGGTTATTTTTGTCTTCTGACTGCAAATGTCTCACTTGTCTCACAGCAATATGATGGAGGTTTCCATGTACCAAAAACTAGGTGGGCTAGGGTTCTTAGACTGGAGACAATTTCTTAGTCACTTTTGTTTAAATATTGACGGCTCTGGGAGAATTTAGTGACATCCAAACAGTCCTGCCATTTGCTGTGGCTTTTGCCAGGGTCCGCAGAGTCCAAACACTCACCAGCTCCCTAAACCATGCAGGGGTCCTCACTTCCCTATGCCCAACGCAGCCCCCCAGTTGCCCAGATCTCCCAGGGCCATCTCTCGCATGGCTTGGCTGCACCTCTTGCCTCTTACCGACAGGGCTTGGCAGAGCAGTTCTGCAGCTTCTTCTTTGAGGTTATTTCCTGTAGTGAGGGTGCTGAGTTAGCAATGTACCCCAGACCACGGCTCCCCTGACCCTCCCATACCTTAGCCCTGCCAATCCTCTTCCCTTTGGAACAATCAGACACAAAAAAGGTGGCACATACTTAAAGCAAATATTATATGGACACAACAGGAGAAAACAAGGCAACTATTTACCCTTTCCTTTAACGTTCCCTTTTCTCTTTGCCATGATTGTCCAGGAAGCTCCAGGAGTTGGTACACCATACCGTGTGCATCCATTGGCAGCATGAACCTCTAGCCTAGCACCTGAAGTCTGTGACATTATAAACAACGCTAATCCAAGCACAAGCAGCAGGGCTGGGACTAGAGTGAGGACTGGGGCACTTACCGTGGGTGCAAAATTTAAGGGATGCCAAAAAACTCAGGAATCAAGATGAATAATATCTTAATAGAATATTTTTAAAAACTAAAATTAATGCAAAAACATGTATGATGAACAAAGTTTTTAAATTTTAAGCAAAGACAAGATCAATAGGAAGAATAACTTCTATTGTTTCACAGCACTACAGGGTGACTATAATTAACTACAACTTATTGTATATTTTCTAATAGCTAGAAGAGAGGATTTTGAATGTTTCCATCACAAAGAAATAAATATTTGAGGTGATGGATATACTAATTTCCCTGATTAGATCATTATGCATGGTTTACATGTATCAAATTATCACACAGTATCCCATAAATATGTACAATTATGCATCAATTTAAAAAATCATAACAATTTTATTTTAAAAGGCCCATACAAGATGAAATAAAAAATAAAATAAAGACAGGATCTGACACTTGCTTGCATGACTAGTCCTTATTCATCTCACCCTATTCTATCCCTGTTGGATCCTGTTTTTATTTAAATGTTGATATTTTGCTTACCATGCATGTTTTTGCATTGATTTTGATTTTTTAAAATATTGAATTAAGATATCATTTACTTGATTACTGAGTTTTTGGCACCCCTTATATCTAGTGACTGAGGCACCTGCTCTTGCCTCATTCACCTTACCTTGTCCCAGCCCTGCCAAGTGGTCTGAAGCACTGGTGGGCTGGGAAATATGTGACACAGAGCCTTATCCTCAAATCTCTCCTTTGAATCCTTAATAATCTTTGTATCTCTAGCACCTAAATGGTGCTTGGAACATAACAGGTGCTTAATAAATGCTTACTAAGTGAATGAATACATTCGCCTTAACACAACACTTGTTGGCTGTGTCTGGCAGCAGTGCAATAAAGTGAGATAATAAGCAAGCCAATGCACAAAATTAGGTAATCAGTTATTCAAATGATTGTGTTTACATCAGCAGTTACAAATAGTGCTGAGATGTATGTAAAAGAATCATTTGAGAAGTTTGATAAAATAGATTCATAGATCTCTCCCCACAAAGATTCTGAAATTGCAGCTTGGGATAGGGCTAGAAAATTTGTATTTTTACAAGGAGCTTTCTGTATTATGTTTACATTATGTTAGGGGTCTTAGCCAATGCAACCAGAAAAATCATTAGAAGCTGTAAATATTGGGGAAAAAAGAGACAAAATTCCCCATTATTTGCAGATGCTAGAATTAGCAAAATGCTAGAATAAGATAATTTGATAAAGTGGCTAGATATAGAATCAATGTACAAAAATTAATAGCTTTTATACACACCAGTAATAACCAATTAGACAATATAACAGAAAAAAACATTCTATTCATATAATATAAAATAATAAAAGGCCTATAAATAAATCTAATATGAAATATGCCTAGTAGAAGAAAACTATAGAAGAGTTCCAGTCAAGATGGCAGAATAGACAGTCCCCAGTGTCACTCTCTCCCACAAATCAACCAATTTACAACTGTAAAAATGTAACAACAGCCAAGCTTGGGCCACTGGAGCTCAGGGGAAGAGGAGGAGAGACCTATAGAGTTCATGAAGGTGGAAGAAACCATGATGAGGGAAAGAAAAAACTGCTCCAAGTGTTTTGGGCCATGGTTGCTTTAAGGCTGGAGCTGCTGAGCATGCAGAGCAGGAGTTGGCAGAAGCCACAGCTGTGCCCTTCGGATGGAGTTGCTTGGAGGCGGCAGGGGAGAAGAGGGTCTTGCTGGCCCCCAGGACAGCAAGACCACTAATAGGGTTCCCCTGAACCCGTGCAGGAGCGAGGAGCCAGAACAGCTGAAAAAGGGAGCTATGCAGAGGCTGGTGAGTCATCACAAGGGACTGGCACAGGGCTTGTCCCATGGGAAGTGTTTGGAGCATGGGCAGTGGAGAAGATGGGCCCACTGGGAGAATACTGGGAAACAGCAAGGACAGCCAATTCACTCCCCAACCAGCACAGGACCACTCAGAGGAGACTGGTCGGGAATGCAGAATTGCATGGGGTGCAGTTTGATGAAAAAACTCAGGCCCAGATCAGAGTTTCTACACAACCCAGGTGTACTGGGTCTCTGGGGAGCTGGAAGGACCTATAAGGTTAACTATGAAATCTTGAGATGCATAAAAAGCCTTCCCTAAGGAAACAGCAGCAAAGCAGCAATTTAGCTCAACCACATAGCTCAAGTACTAGTTCCCCCAGGAAATTCCCCCATTTTAGAAGCAAGCCAAGGACAAAAAATTAGTTCCAGCCCAGACATAGCGCCAGTACCTCGGGGCCCTGCCTGGGGGCTGGGGCAAGGAGCCAGGGACTGGACTCCACTCCCACATCCAGGCACACCCAGAGCATGGAGCCAGGGACCAGACCCCCCCGCCCACAACCAGACACACCACCAGCACCAAGGAGCATGCCAAAAACATCACCTCCATGTGGGTGGTCCACTACAGCCACCACAGTAACCATGGCTGCCACAAAAGTGGCTAGATGTCACAACCACCACGCACATGGTCCACCAGCCACTGGAGTGCATTGACACAAGGAGAGTCACCAGTGGAAACCAAAGAAAAGAGGACGTCTCTATCCACAAAGCCCATTCCCAAGTGACAGAAGAAGCATCTGCTCTATGATAATATTGGGGGACCTGAACACACCTCTCAGCACTGGACAGATCATCTAGGCAACAAATCAACAGAGTAACCATTACTCTTTCAGAGGGAGAGAAGACATCTAGGGTTATCAGTGGTGGGGGGGAAGGAGAGGGGGATGGGGAGAGATTGGACAAGGGGCATAAAGAATAAGTACGATTTGTAACAATATACATACTAGTAATATTGATTTTATCAACATATGTCGACATTGAATCCCAAAAATATGTATAATCGGGCTGGCCCGGTGGCGCACTGCTACAGTGCGCTGCTCGGGAAGTGCAGCGGCGCTCCCGCCAAGGGTTCGGATCCCATGTGCAGATCGGCCGCTCACTGGCTGAGCGAGGAGCGGGAGCAACACCGAGGGTTGCGATCCCGTTGCCGGTCCTGGTCCGGTACGGGCGCGACACTGAGGGTTGCGATCCATTGCCGGTCACGAAAAAAGACAAAAAGACAAAAAAATATATATATATATATGTATAATCAATTATGATTCAATAAAAAAATAAAAATTAAGCACTTAAAACAAAAACAAAATGAAACAAAGAAAAAAACTATAAAACTTTATTAAAGAATATAAAAAAAGACCTGAAGAAACGGAGAAATAAACCATATTCTTAAACGAAGAGACTCAATATTGTGAATGTCAATTCTTTCCTAAATTAATCTTGAATATTCACTGTAACCCTAACCAAAATTCCAACAAGGTTTTTTTTTTGTGGAACTTGACAAAATGATTCTAAAATTCAACCGGAGGAGAAACTGCACAAGAAAATCCAAGATTACTTTGAAAAGGTCAGACTTTGTCCGCTCACATATAAAACACATTATATTATACAAGTATAATATATATTAAATTTTTTTTTTTTTTTTTTGTCTTTTGTCTTTTTTCCGTGTCCGGCAACGGATCGCAACCCTCAGTGTTGCCCCCGTACCGGACCGGGGACCGGCAATGGGATTGCAAGCCTCGGTGTTGCTCCCGCGCCTCGCTCAGCCAGTGAGCGGGAACCGGTCTGTATGTGGGATCCGAACCCTCGGGTGGGAGCGCCGCCGCGCTTCCCAAGCGGCGCACTATCCAGTGCACCACCGGGCTGGCCCAATATATATTAAATTTTATATAATTAATTTATTGTATTAATCACAACCATATTATTATAATATATAGTAATTATAATTTTAACATTCTAAACAAATATTAAAGTCACATTGACATAGAAATAGACAAATAGATTAATAAAATGAAACAAAATCTAAAGAGAAATCTATATTTATATAGGAGTTTAGTATATGATAAAGATGACATTTCATATTAGTCAGTTGAGGATAAATTTTTCAACTAACCTGGCTATCAGTTTTGGAAATACAGTGTTCGATTCTTACCTCTGCCATGAACAAAAAAATATTGGAGATTTAAACGTGAAAAACAAAATTACCAAAATATTTGAGGAAAATATTTTTATAATCTTGAAGTAGAAAGCAGTTTTTTAAGACTACAGAAATTAAATCCATAAAGAAAAAGGACTTATGAACTTGACACCAATAAATATACAAACTTCCCTATGAAAATACCATAAACAAAGCCATATATAACATTCTAACATTCAAGTATGAATATCTATAGTGTATAGATAATATGAACAACCCCATACACAATTGACATCTCACAAAAGAGGAAATAAGCATCTGAAAAGATGTTCTATTTTAATAGTGATAGTTATGTGTAATAGTAAAAAAGATAATAATAGTGATTAACATTTAACAAATCCTTATGTATTAATTAAGGTGTTTTAGATTTTATTACAGATGTTTTAGATTTTAACTCACTTTATCCTTACAATCATCATCTCAGGTAGGTAATATAATTATCCTTAGTGTATAATGAGAAAAATTAGGCACAAAAGGGTTAAATAATTTGCCCAGTGTCAAAGCCAGGATTTGAAGCCAAATACCTTGACTTCAGCATCCACACACTTAACCATTGTGATTCACAACTTGCTAATAACCCTTCTGGAAAGAGTATAGGGAAACAGTCCATTGGTAAAATTGTAACCTGGTACAGTCTTCTTAAAAGGACATTTGGAAATTAATTTTTTTAACTTTGCAAAATGGATGTATCTTTATATTCAGTAATTCTACTCCTGAGTGTCTACACAGAAATATCAGAACATGTGCCCAAAAGATGCATGTACAAGAAAGTCCTTTGAAACATTAATTGAAAGATCAAAAAACTGGAAATGACTGAAATACCTCCTCTCCCAAATAGGGGGATGTTAAATAAACTATGCTATATCCATAGCATGGACTACACCCAGATGTTCAGAAGAATGAGATAAATCTATGTGTTTTGTCACAGAAAGAAATACAAGGTATATTTAGAAGGAAAGAAGGGAAATTAAAGAATAATATCTGACATTAATAACGTATTAAAATATACACAAACTATTTCTGCATTTTATTTCTGGATACTTTTACATTCTTGTTTCCTAGGTGACTTTCAGTGATATGTCAAATGTGGATTTCTTTTTATTTACCTTACTTAAGACTTACTGGGATTCCTGTTTCTGAGAATTCATAAATTCAGGAAACACGTCAGCTATTCTATTTTCAAATATCGCTGTTCACTCATTCTCTTATTTTTCTGGAACTCCTACTAGTTGTGTTGAGTCTACCTCATTCTTTTATATTCTTTTGCCTTTTATATTCTCTATCTCTTTATCCTTCTATGCTGCAAAGATAGACAAAGTATGCGTTTCACTAATTCTGTCACTTGTGCCTAATGTGCAATTTATCCATTAAGTCATTAGGGTCAATTTCTATATATTTTTCATTTCTAGAAGTTCTATTTTTATGGAGGAGGAGAGGCATTTTTTAAAACATAGTGATTTGTTCTTTTATGTTTTTATTTTTTTGTTATGTTCCTAATCATATCAAATATACTTTACGTGTAGGTAAGATTTAAGTGCAAGATATCTCAGTTAGCTTGCAGTTCCAGTTCATTAACAGTGCCCCTATTCAGTTTAGATGATAAATTATATAGCCACTCCATTTATTGTCTGTATCTGATAATCCTATTTTCTGAAGTACTTGAGGGTCCAATCCTACCACTTGTTGAGTTTGGCAACTCTCATGGTTTTCCATTTCCTTGTTTGTTCTGCAATTTTGGACCATGAGCCCATCTTGAGTGGGGCTTTATCTGTGGGAATCTGAGCAGCCTGGTTCAAAGCTTTCTTCCTTCAAAGAGGTGTTATTTTTGTTTCTGTCCTACGCCCCGGGGATTACCAGCATAGGACCACTTTTGATGTTAATTTCGTGGCTTAGGAGTTCCAGGACCCTGCAGATAGTATAAATTCAGACCACAAATCTGAGTGAGGGCAGTCTGTGGGTACTAGAATTCTCAAGTGACTTTTTTTTTTCCCTGTGGGAGACAAAGAAGAAGCTATACAAAAGGGGATCAGCTATGAGGATGCTTCGAAAAGTTCGTGGAAAAATGGAATTAAAAGATAATATGAATCTTTCCATGAACTTTTTGAGACCTCTTGTAGTAATAAATGCTGTTAAGAAAAACCAAGCAGAGAAACAGAATAGAGTGACAGGGACACCATACCGATACCAGCTGCTGTTTCCATAAGGTGGTCAGGGAAGTCCCCCAAGTAGATGACATTTGAGTAGGTAAACCACCTAAGCCATGCAGATATCAGAGGGAAGCGTGTTTCAAAGCAGATCAGAAGTGGCTTGGGAGGAAAGCAGGAAGCCAGCATAGCTGTGTCGTAGAGGAAGGACGACCCGGAGGGTTTAGCAGCAGGAGACGCAGTGTTCTGGTCACTGAGACCCCACGGACATGGTCTGGGGCTCCCTAGACCCTGGATTTCCTCTGCCTTTCCCTTTCCTCTCTCTTTCATTCCCAATGTCCTCTCCTCCCCTTGCATGAGCTCACCGGAAAGCTGAAGTTTACAGATCGAAGAGGTGTTTCTCATGAGGAAGTCTGAGATGTTTCTGGCTCCCTCCAAACCAAGATCATTGTTGGAAATATTCTAAAATGCAAGAAAACACGTAAGTACAAAAAATCCCACCAAAGGGCCCTCATTAACAAGTGGTGTCAGGGGGGGGGTTACTGAGGGAGAAGGGATGGGGCGTGGAGAGGGGGCTGTGGTGAAGGGCTGAGGCGTTCAGTAGTGCAAAGGAGGCAGAGAAGAGAAGTTGGAAACCTGGTTCCAGACCTGGCTTTTCTAATGCCTCCCAGTGGGACCCCTGGGCTGCTCTCAGTTTTCTCTGAAGCTGGCTTCCAGGACTCCCTGCTCCACCAAGTTAGTCCTAGTACTTCAGGTAAGTACATTATTTTGTTCATTTGTTTTGAAACCCATGATAGCTTCATCTGGAGAGCTTGGCAGTGAAATCATTGAAAATGAGTTTAGAGTAGATAATCATTGGAAATTTCATTTACTGAGTCAGCAAGTATAAAGTGTCCTTTTAGGCTAGTGAGAGAGACTTTATATAATCCAGCCATTACTGGTCTCCCCCTGCCTTTTTCAATTTTTTTTTTCATGGTGGTAAAATACAAATTACGTAAAATTTGCCATCTTAACTATTTTAAGTGTACAATTCAGTGGTATTAAGTATACTGATTATTAGGCCTCATGGCCAGTATCAGCACAGCCTCGGTAAGCAACTATCCACCCTCTTCCCCCTCATCCCTCCCTATCTCGTGTTAATCAACTTTCCACCCCCTACACCCTTGCTTTCCTAGAAAAACCGGAATTTGTACAAAACAGATTCTTATGCAAAAACGACCACCAAACACCCTTCCTCTAATTCAAACCTTATAAAGCCTTTTTAGTCTGTACAGGGACGGGAGCTGATCTGACTCAGTCTCCCCTCCATGCTGGTGGCTCAAGTCTCTCTCTTTACTCCATGTCACCAAACCTAACACTCATACTGTTGTGCAACCATCACCACCTTTCATATCCAGGCACATTGTATTTATGAAATTATTTCATGCTTTGTTTTCTTTAAGGAAGTTCACTTTAGGGCAACTATGCAGAGGTAAATTTAGCCATTTCCGGTCTTCTAAGTTCCAGACAAAAGTGGTTTCTTAGGGTTTCCTGGAGCCACAGGGAACACAGTGCCCCTGGCTAGCCTCTGGTGGGTGGCTCTCCTCTGAGAAGTACGTCTAGAGAAGAGGAGCCTGCAGACCTACTGCAGACAGGCTGGAGGCTGGCCCGGCATGGGCAGGGAGTGAGTTCCCAGCCCCAGGTGGTGAGAGGAGCCTGCAGAGCAGGGCACAATACCAGCTCCTGGAGGTAGTAGTTCTCATGCAGCATCTCTGTCAGGCTCCTGACACCCTCCTCCGTGATGCAGTTGTCTTCCAGCTCCAGTTTGGTGACTGTCGTGTTGGACTTCAGCCACCACCAGGGGAGGGGGAGAAAGACATAGAAATGGTTGGTGACCTGATCAGTTCCTTGGTCTCCCTGGTCCAGAACTTGTCCCCTCTCTAGAACATCCCAGCCATGGGAGAGGGTATGGAGATGCAGGCTAGGAATTTTGAAGGAGTAGAGAAGATGAGGAGGAAGACAGACATCCCATTGAGTTTTGCTAGGACAATGTGCTTATTCTGGGAGAATTTAGAAGAGGATCATTAAAGCCCTGAAAAGTAAGAGGCACAAGCCTCAAGGAGAGAGAAGACTGTTACCTCCTCCAAGATTAAAGAAAACTTGACACATTTAAGAACAGTATTTAAATCTAAAGATTCTTGCAAGGAGGTCCTCTAAAGCATTTACTTTGTTTTCTTCAGAGGCCTTCTAGTTTAGTCTTGAGCCTTATCTGGTACTCTCTTTTAAGAGCAGGCTGCCTCAAGGCAGTTTGGAAGAAAGTAAACATAAATCTTCAATAAATATCTACCTCCAAGCTAGTCTGCATTCTCTCTGGGAACAAGTTGAGAGAGAGAGGAAATGACTTACAATAGCAGCATGAAAGACTGCAGTTAGCTCTAAGCAGAACTTTTACTCTTTCCTTCCCCACCTCATTCCCAGCACAAACAGGCACAGAGATCAGACATATCTTGGATTTGAGCAGTTTTCAAAGTTCCCCAAGCAGTGAGAGAAGTAGCAGGTGATAAGGACCTTTAGTGCCTGTTTCTCCCTCCAAGAAAAAGGAGCATGTGATAGTTCAGGCTACTGCAGTGCAGGATGGTTCACCCAGGGGCTTCGTGGAATGTCTTCTGGTCTCAGCTCTCTGGGGTGGGCAGAATTCAGTCATGCTCAAAGGTGGGGGAGATGGCCCAGGTGGCTTCCCAGTCTCGGTGCTATTTACAGTGTCCAGAAACTTACGCTGAATGACCACATCCAGACTCACACCAGAGATGGGTGCATTGCTGCGTGAAGCGGGAGGCCCAGTCAACAAGTCCATCCACATCCATATCACTCAGGCCAGTATCTATTTGTCACTCTCTGTACTAACTGCTGGGGGAACAATGATAAACAGAGAACATCCCTTCTCTCAAAGGACCCAGCCCCCCCCTCCCCCCGCCAGCCACCGCCCCAAGTGCAAGGGGACAGTGCTAGGCAGGTGAGGGACACTCACAAGGATGAAATATGGTCCCTAATATCAGAACGCTTTTAATCTGAGCCAGGGGAACACAACAAACATGTGAAATGTTAAACAGTAGAAAAAGCAAATAAAAGTTCAGGGCACCAGAATGTCACAATGATTAATGGTCAAATGGATGTTATGGAGAATCAGAGAAGAAAAAACCCCCCAGACGGAAACTGCTGTACTAAGAAACGAGTGGCCCAAGTCCTGAGAGGATTTCATTACGATCCGTTTTTTCCCCAGGAAGCTCACAAGGTAATGGTGCGATCCTAACACTTCATTAATCACTTTCAACCCTCGTACATTTCAAGAGGGCTTTGTTCCTTCTCTGCTCTTTCCTGCTCCTCCCCAGAAAACAGTACACTCTCACCTCTCATGTAACTTCTTGATGCGGATATGCTAAACACAAATGCTGTTATAATGAACAAGGGGGTGGGGACTGAAGAAAAATAAGACCATGCATTCCACAAATACACTGTTCAGTGCCAACAGGGGGACTAGACACTCAAATGAACAGCACACAGTCATGTCCCTCGAGAACTCACGTCTAATAATGATTGCATTCTAGCAATGAACAATGACATATTTCAAGGCTGTTTGGAGATTGCCATGTATTTCGTGACTGAATAAATACCAATGAGCAAATTGTCTTTCTCATGCGTCATCCTCTTGGACTTCTTCATGGTTGAACCTGGCTGCCTAGTCTTCCTGAAGCTTGTCTTTTGTTGTCTCTAACCAGCTTCTCCTACTGCTCAATCACTTATTCTCTATTTAATTCACTGACTTTTTTCCTTCCTTCGGATCCTTTTCTCTTTATCATCCTAAGTGAACACACACAGTGTTATGCTGACATAGAGTTGTTAGATTTTCTGGGGTTTTTTTGTGATGGGAGTCATTTTTCTATATAATCAATTCTCATTATATGAGGGTACTTCAAAAAGTCCGTGGAAAATAGAATTAAAAGACAATACAAATTTTTTTTTCCTTTTTGTCTTTTTTCGTGACCAGCAACGGATCGCAACCCTCAGTGTCGCGCCCGTACCGGACCGGGACCGGCAACGGGATCGCAACCCTTGGTGTTGCCCCCGCACCTCGCTCAGCCAGTGAGCGGGAACCGGTCCGTATGTGGGATCCGAACCCTTGGTGGGAGCGCTGCCGCGCTTCCCAAGCGGTGCACTGTAGCAGTGCGCCACCGGGCCGGCCCAAGACAATACAAATTTTTCCATGATCTTTTGGAAGTACCCTCATAGAGAGCTTTGATGAATTCAAAGTCAAGTCCTCGTTTGGTCGTCCCACGCCAAGAGATAACATCATCGCTGTGGGAAAACACGATCAACTCTACAGTGTGGTCTTTAAAATTATAATGTAACAAAAGGCAGACATTGAATGGAATGGTTCAGTAGTGAACTCATTTCATAGCAAAGGTGGACTTTGGAATGGAGACCCAAGCTGGCATTTTGTATTGTGTTTTCACATCAACGTCTGGGCCCGAGATCAGCCCAGCCCAGCCACTTTTCCCCGGACCCATAGCTGGTTCCTTTGCTTCCAGAATAACAAAGAGCATAGACTTCCAAGGCCCAGCTCTCTAGCAGCCTCCTTCTAGGAGCTAAAGTGAAGTCACACCTCCTGGGGAAATCAGCTGGAAGTCGAGCGCAGAATAGGTGACAGCAACCCGTAAAGGTTGCTGTCCAGGCTCCACAGGAGGGATCCTCTGCAACCTTGGCCTGCCAGCTATCGACCCTCCATCTACACCAGGCTTCAGGTGCCCCACTGGGATGCTTACCACCAGGGTTATTGCAATAGCCTTGGTACCCTTGGGGCCCAGTCCATGGTGGTTGAGGTTCAAGTAGGACTCCTCTATGTTCCGGATGAAGTAGGACACAGGCACTACGCCCACCAGTCTGCAGGCCTCCAGGTACAGCTCCTTCTGTCCAGTGGTGAAAAATTTCTCATTGTCTGCAGAGAAAAACAGAATGGAGTGGGGTTTGTCTCCCACCTTTGTCTTACCTCCTCTCTAGTGTCACGAACAAGTGACATTGGCTTCTGACAGAACCACCCTCCCTGCCAGCGGATCTGTCCCTGTGGGTATGTGCTCTAGAAGCCAACTCCAATCCAGGTCAGCCAGTGGTGGGAGAGGGAGACCCTAACTCCAGAAAGACCCAAATGGACGTCTCCCTTTGGGTAGGAGATGAGGCCCGTGGCTTTAAGCCCCAAGTTTTCCTGGGAGAAATGAGCAATGTGCCCTCACACCGCCTTCCCAGGTTGGCTGCATCCAGTGACAGATCATCAAGGACATGGAAAGGCCCAGCTCGGAGGTAGGGTCTGTGGGGCCTGATAGTCAGCCACCCAGTCCTCTTACCAGGTTCTTGACTTTGCCACAGGAAAGAATTCAAGGGCAGAGTCACAGTAGACAGTGAGAACAAATTAAATGCAACAGATGAGAAATACAGGTTCCACAGAGGGAGTGCAGCATAGCTCCAGAGACTGAGCAGGGACCACACCAAGTTCAACACAGAAACAAGTTCAGTACAGACATCAAGTCTAACACAAAAGCAAGAAAAACATACTTCAAGTTCATCCAAAGTGCAGGCTGGCTCAAGAGAGTGAGGCAGCCACTTGCTGAAAGTAAGTTTGATATAAAATAAAGTATACACACCTCAGCTGGAGAAGTGCAGAAGTGCCAGGCTGCCTCCAGGAAAGGGGGCAACAGCCCCGCCTTCCCCTGGGATTAGGCTTTTACAGTTTCTCCATGTAATGAATATCCAATTAAGGGGGTGGCTGCCAGTTAGGGGACATTGTCTTGCACACATGCTCAGTCAGTCTCTTCCTGGAGCATGTGCATTGGTCAGGCCCTATCACATGCACCAGCATATTCAAGAATGTTCTATGCTGTCTACTGAGCATGCCCAGCCACTAGATTTGTATAAGCCAGCCCCTTGTGTTCTTGTTTTCCCCCTCTTGGTGCTAAAAATAGGTCTAACTGGCAGCAGTAACCTTCCTCCAGGGGAGAGCCCAGAGGAGGGAGCCTGAGACCACAGGGAGTGGCAGGAAACCCAGAGGCCTGTCCTGAAACCTGAAGCCAGGGAAACTCAGCATCTCCTGGATCAACAACTCCGAAAGCCAAAAACAGTAGTCAAAAAGCTGATGACTTTTGATGGTTGAGAGGCTCTCCATTTTGGTTTTAGATTTACAACCAGTATTAAAATGTTGTGAGCCATGAATAAAGCTTTACTAAAAATTTAGAGAAGTACCAACTTAAAAAAGAAAGAAAGAAAGAAAAAAAGCCGAAGTAGGAAAGAGCAGGCTTCTCAAGAGGGAATCAATGCAAAATGGAAAGACTCAAATCAGTCAGAAACAAGCAAACTTGCAGATGAGTAGGCTTTCCTCTTTCAAAGACTTGCATGCCATTTTTCCTCACAAAAAGGACGGTCATCTCTGCTTTACCAGTGACAAATCTATCCCCAAATCATAGACAGCTGATCAGTGCTAACGCCAGCTAACAGAAGTGGGGACTCCACCTCTCCATTCCAACCCCTGGGGCACTTATTCCTCAGGCTTTAGACCAGCCTAGCCCATGGTCAGTGGGGGTCAGGCCTCTCTGGATTCTGGGTGCCCCACAGCTGTGTCCTCATTAGGCAAGGCCAGACTATGGCAGGGCTTCCTATAGCCAGCTGGCATCTAAGTCTGCATCAGTTTTTACTTTGGGTCCCAGGGCCTTTGGCCAATCCACACCAAGCATTTCTAAGGCTGACAATGAGAGCTTTGTTGATGAAAGGACAAGTCTACAGGGAAGCTGATTTTGCAAGCACAGCTACAAATTAGCCTTCTCTTTGGGATGGTTGTATAGTAGGGTTTCTCAGCCTCAGCACTATTGGCATCTTGTGTTGGATAACTCTCTTCTGTGACAAGCTGTCCTGTGCGTTGTATTTAGTATTAGTAAATTACTAAATACAGGGTATTTAGTAGGATCCCCGGCCTCTACCCACAAGATTCTAGTAGTACTCCCCTCCCCAGACCTCTCGTTTGCTAGATGTCCCCTGGGATGCAAAATTGCCTCTGGGTGAGAACTACCTTTGGAAAGCCAAACAGTGCAAGGTAAGTGAGCAAACCTGCTTCCGTCTCTCCCTCTTCTGCAGACTCTCACCCGGGCTCATTTCTTCTGCCCTCCTAGGAAGCCCTTCCTGCCCCACTCCCAGCATCTCAGCACCAGCTACAGAAGCACGAAGAGCTTTCATTCAGCACAGTTTTTGGTGCCAAATTCAGCCATTAAAGGTTCCCTCTGGCCAAAGCAGGGAACATCACCCTCAGTTTTGTCCTTGGGACGATTCTGCTGTTTGATGCTGAACCTTTCTAGCTGTATTCACTATGGTTCTATGTTAGAGGCAGCTTGCAGCATTGTTATGACTTGCTGGGGGCAGGGTGAGGGAGAATGACAGAGAAACAAGAGCCTGGGGGCACATCCTGCTTCTCTGTCGCCTCCCCCAACCACGAGAAATCAGGTGTTGAAAGCAACCTTAGTAACAGCCTTGAAGTGCACAAGAAGTCAGAAAAAGAGCAACCAGATGCCTGGGGGACAGCGGGGAGGAGGTCTGTAGGGAAAGGAGCAGTATGTTGAGAGTGGTGGGAGGTTTATGAGCTGACTATGTAGATAAGCGTCACATTTTGATTTGGCAGAGCAGCATCCCCTCCATCTGTGCTGCCTGTGGACCATAGCCCACCACCCAGCCGCAAGAGCACAGGAGGGGAAGGGCCACTGGGCTAGGCTCGGCCTGGGAAGTTAGAGTCTGGTGCCCTCACATGGGACCACAGTCATTTTCCTGTTGCTTCACAAATATTCTTTTTGGTACTTCCTTCCGTGGGGAAACTGGGAGGAAAAAGAGGGTGGAGGTGTTGTTTGTGATAACAGAGTCTTTGCTCTGGCTCAGCCCAGGCGTGCTTAGGTGCATTGAGGGAAAACACAGGGCTTTCACATGGGGGGTATAAGAACTCTAAGGTGAGTGTGGGAAAGTCCTGGGATGCACGATGGGTCACAGGAACACCCCAGGGTCCAGGAATACGGAATATAGAAGGCAGAGCTTCAGCGTGGGTCAAACATGGGATCAGCCATCATGGGCTTGACAAACTCCCGGTGGCCTTGGGCAACTCCCACAACGTCTTTAAGCCTCAGTTTCCTCTTCTGTAAACCATGGATAATAATGCCTTCCTCCTAGGGCTATTGTGAAGAGTACATAAGATGCCACATGTGGGAACATTTAGAAGACCAGAAACCCCCTGTTCATGATTGGTTCGGCTGTCAACAAGCTGACGTGTGGGCACTGCTCACCAAGCAGGCCACCAGTGTGGGCAGCCGCAGCTGCTGCCCTGGCCAGACTTGAGGAGGATGCAGGATAAAATTGAGCACAGGCATCCCTGCCACCTTCTCAGCAGGATTTCCCCCTGGGCAGAGCCACAGCTGACTCTGGAAAGGAGCTTCCAGAAACCAGATTTCTCCAACTTCCCACTCTCACCTTCAATCTCGAGGTCTGTTTCTGAATTCTCTGTGGCTGGTTTCTCTCTTTTGACAATTGTGGGGGCTTCGGCCTCACAGTAGAGGGTCTCGTCACTGTTCTGTGGTGCCAGCACGGTTTCAATCTCATCTGGAAGAAAAACTTATCTCCTTGATTCTGAAAACGAACCCCCCAGCCTCCAACCCCCAGCCCCTTGATTTCCCTGGGCCTCTGTTCCCTTCCTCTGCATCCCAGGTCCTGACTACAGCCTTTGTCCCCCAGCTTCACATGGTTCAAGGTCCCAAGCCCTGCCAAGGGGACCCCATTCTACAAGCCCTCCCTTCCCAACACAGTGCTTGTCACAGCTGAATTGTCCGTCCATGAGCTCTTATGACAAGCACTCCCTCATGTTCCCTGGAGATTAGCTGCTCCTGCTCCATTCCCTGTGTGGGGCCTGCCTTGGAGATCAGCTCCTTACTCCTACTTTTCCCTTCTTATTTCTTGGGGGTGGGGGTGGAGGTGGGAGGCAGGGCTCAGGGTCTGCTGTTACTCTTTCAGATGAAAGTATGCGTCCCGATGGTGCTGGGGAGGGCAGGGGCAGGGCAGCTGGCAACTTGGGGCAAATGTAAAGCAAAATGGACCAGGAGAAGTTCCAGGGAGCCAGAGAGAGAACTTGACTCCTAAGAATTTGACCTAGCATCTCTTCCTTCCAATATGGCATTGATTTTATGACCAAGAGGAAGGAGGACCTTTCTACTTGAGATGAAATGAACTGCTGTGATTAAATACATGTGTTTTGGTTTGATGAGATGGCTGGCGAGAGGAGCCGAGCTCCCTTCATACCTGTCCACTGTACTTGCTAGACATGGTTTGTCCACCACTGGGACGCTGCTCTGGGACCAACTATGGGCCACACACAAGGACCAGAGCTCAATCCTCCAGCATCAGCAGGACTCAATGTTTTGAGGAAGCCGGGCTGGGCCTCTGGGTGGCCCGTCAGAACTTAGCCAACCAACTGTTTGAGTGGGCTGTGTATTTGTGTCAGGGGCCCTGAGTTTTGACTACCCAAATTCTAGGATGGGTTTCCTCACAAGTCCATGCAGGTCTGTGTCTTTCTTAATCCTTGTATGTAGACCCAGGCCCCAGCATTTATTTCCCAGCCTGAAAGACAAGGTCTTTGTGATATGGGTTATGGGTAGCGGTGATCTGGCAATTAGAAGACATACAACAGGTTAGCTGCCAAACTGCTGGGTGCCCTTAGAAAAGTGATGAATTTCTGAGTCTTAATTTCCTCATCCAACAATTTAAGAATTCCATTCAATTAGTAGAATGCTGATAAATACTTAACTGGCTCTCCAGAAAAAAAATCCTGATTTATAAGGTTAGCCAATTCATGTGGTGTAAACATTTCCAACATGCTGATCTCAAACTACCAACATGACATAACCAGCCCATGAAATGAAAATTAAAGTTGGCTAGCACCAGTATAAGCCAGTTCCAGCACAGCACTGCATCCGACTCTCTCACTCTGCCAAGCCCTGAACCCAAGTCAATGTAACACATCATCCCAATTTAGAGGATCCCAGGCCAGGGGAGAAGTGGGCTCAGGGTCCGTGTGATCACTGGGTGTACATTGGGGCAGCCTGGAAGGGCCTGAGTGATGAGAGATGGGAGGGTGCCTTTTCACCTTGGGTCTCAGGCTCAACAGGGTCGCCATTGTCCATGGTGCCAGGACCTCTTGAGGGCTGCTGCCAGCTTCTTGCGACCTTTCAGCTGCTTCCCTAAGAAGCATGCGTGTCCATTCACCTCTGTCTCAAACTCTGTGTATTGCCCTTACATAGGCAAACCCCAGGGGAGCCTGTAGTTATCCTTCTGTACCAGCATGCCCTGGGGAGAGTGGGCTTTGAAGGGAAGGAGACATGCATGGATTTGACCCCAACTCTGTGTGGGAGAGGTGGCTACTTTCCCAGCTCATCAGGGAGAGTGGTACAGCTCTGTTCCTGGGAGCCCTGCCCGAAGGATGCCCACCCGCCTGCAACTTTGTGACTTAGGAGTCATGTTCATTTCATCTTTAACATTCCATGACCTCATGCAGTCATTGTGATCCACATGGGTGGACCTGGCAACAGCAGGTCTCCCGCCCTCTTGCAGCTCTGGCAGTCATCTTTTCTCATACGTTTGCTGGGGCCAAGCCCAGGCTTGGCTGTGAGTGCTCAGGTACTGTGAGGGGGCCTGTCAGTGGTGGTGTATTTCCCTCTGAGTCAGGACCAAACCCAAGCCCCTTAATCAGGTGACCGTGAAGAGCCGCCACCATGTTCTTCTCTCAAGGTGGCTGTGCTTCAGGTACGAAGTATTTCAGTGATGGGTGAAGTCAGTTTTCTTTTACCCAGTTCTTCCTTTTTTCTTTCCCCCTTGGGAGAGTATCCTCAACTTTGGAGCAGAAGATCAAAAGCAAAGCACAACAAACATATGTTCTACCACTATAGTTTGTTGCAGCCAAAGCATTGTTCAATCCGAACCCCTGGGCTGCCTAACTTGAAACCACTCAGCATCACTCCCATGCTTGGCTGTTTTCACATGTCTTGGAGTTGAAGTTCAATTGCAGTTTGCTGTCAAGAGAATCTGGAAGTGTGTTTGTTCCTTCTTGATAAGATTCCAGCACCTCAACGGTCAGGTCAGTGACTGGAGGGCTTGGGGATCAGACGAATGCTGAAGAGATATAAATTTGTGAAGGGAAAACATAGAACTATGGATCAAAAGAAATACGTACACCTGAGATGTTCCTTGTTCTTTCAGGCATTCATTCTGAAAAATACTTATTGAGCATCTACTGTATACAATGTACTGAGATAGGCACCATTGTGGGGAGGAGGTGCAGATATAAGACAAGGACCTTTCAAGGTATGTGTAATACAAGATAGAAATTGACAGGGCCATCTCTAGGGTAAGGGTCCTGGGCAGATTCCTTTGGCAGAGTTCCTATTCACAGAAACGATTTGAGTTGCCCTAAATCAATGTGGCAGCACCACTCTGGTGTGGCCATCTCTAGGGTAAGGGTCCTGGGCAGATTCCTTTGGCAGAGTTCCTATTCACAGAAACAATTTGAGTTGCCCTAAATCAATGTGGCAGCACCACTCTGGTGTTCCAATCTCATATGGTTCCTCAAAGGAAACACCAAACAAGCTGGGGGAGGGATCAACTCCTAGGTAGGCACGAGTCCTGGAGATCCTCAGCGCCTCTGTTGGGCCCCACACTGATACAGAGGATAAGAAAGCATCATTGAGGAGGAGAAAGAGGGGCCAAGGAGTATGTGGGTTCTGGTCTAGGCTCTGGGTGTTCTGCATGGACAGCACCATCCAGTCTCGGGTGAGTTAGAAAATTTGGAGGAAGGTGCTCCAAATGGCTACTAGACAGAGGCACCGCTAGCCTTGGTGTAGAGCATCACTGGACATTGAAAAGGGAAATGCCCTGGGAGTCCAGAGGAGGTGAGGTTTCTTCACGCTGGGCTCCAGACAAGTAGAGGCTGGGGAAAAAGCATTTCTGGGAGTGCAGAATGAAGGAAGGCAGCAAAGCCTATGGTGGGTTTGGGAGAGTGCAGGGTGTGAAGAGGGATAGAGAAAGGGGAGGTCATGAGGGCCAGAGCAACTTCAGGAATAGAGAGTCAAATGCAATTAAAAGGCAAAAGGGAGCCATTGAAGTTTTTTGAAGAGGAAAGTTGTATCATCAGAAATTTTCTTTAGAATGGTGGGGAGCAATATTTTTTGCGAAAGAGTCAATTCTGGAAAAATAAAAATGTTTAAGGACTATAATTTTTAAAATTTGTATCTTTTAAAAAATCATGACATATAATACCTTTTATATATATATATATATTATTTATTTAATTTTGTCAATTACTGTTACCCTTTTAAAAATTAACCTTTTTTATTTTGGAATAATTTTATTACAGAAGAGTTACAAATATAATACAGTTTCCATATACTATTCACTCAGCTTCCCTTTATGTTAACTTCTTATATAATCAATGAAAAATGATCAAGGGCTGGCTGGTTGCTCGGTCAGTAAAGCATGGTGCCAACAGCACCAGGGTCAAAGGTTTGGATCCCCGCACCAGCCAAAAATGATCAAAACTAAGAAATTAATATTGGTACAATGCTATTAACTAAACTACAGACCGTATTTATATCTTACCAGTTTTTTCAGTAATGTCCTTTATTTTGTTCCAAGATGCCATATTGTATTGTTTATCTTGGCTCTGTTGGTTTCCAATCTGTGAAATTTCCCTAGTCTTTCTTTGCCTTTCACGACCTTGACATTTTCAAAGAGTATTGGTCAGATATTTTGTAGAATGTTCCTCAATTTTGGTTTGTCTGATGTTTTGTCATGATTATTGGGAAGGGTACTATGGAATTGACATGCCCTTCTCAGTGCCTTCCAGGGATATATGATGTCAAAATGTATTGTATTGATCAACTGGTCAAGGCGGGGTCTACCAGCTTTTTCTACTGTAAAGCTACTATTTTTTCCTTTACAACTATAATTAATACATATTTGGGGAGTGATCCTTTAAGACTCTGCAAATATCCTATTTCTGCTTAAGCTTTTGCTCTTGAGCTTTAGCATCTATCAATGGATTTTTCCTCAATGATTATTACTGTGGTGTTCTAATGGTGATTTTCCATATCCACAATCCTTCTACATTTATTAATTGGAATTCTTCTGTAGAAAAGAGTTGTCCTTCCCCATTTATTTGTTCATTCAGTTTATATCAACAGGGTCTCAGGGATGTTTATTTTATTCTTTGGGTTACAATACAATAGTATCATTTATTTTGCACTTCAAGTTACAACTTTGGCCATTGGGAACTATTCAGGTTGGCTCCTGTGCCATTTTTTTTCCCTTTCCTTACTTTCTGGCATCATAGGAATTAATTACTTTTCTAAGGAGAATAGTAGTTTGAAATCCAGATCTGGGAGCAGGTGTGCCTATCTCTATTGGGTTGTCCCTGTTTCTAATCTTTGGGAAACAGAATTAGGAAATATACATTTGTGTGTATGCAAACCCATCTATAACACACATCTATATTTATTTCTATATCCATCTATATATACATTTTAAAAAGCTCTGAGTCTGGGCCGGCCCGGTGGCGCACTGGATAGTGCGCCGCTTGGGAAGCGTGGCGGCGCTCCCGCCCGAGGGTTCGGATCCCACATGCGGACCGGTTCCCGCTCACTGGCTGAGCGAGGTGCGGGCGCAGCACCGAGGGTTGCGATCCATTGCCGGTCACGAAAAAAGACAAAAAGGAAAAAAAAAAAAAAAGCTCTGAGTCTGTACCGATACCTCTGTCTCCAGTCCAGCACCTCAGGCCACCTCCTTTTCATGTGCATTTCTTTCTCCTGGCAAGAAACCCAGTGTCTCTCATTTTCTGCAGTATATCTGTTCATCTCCAGTATATATATATATGTAAAGTAGATTCAGAATTGCAAAATCATATTCCTGGAAACAAATTTACCAACTAGAGTACAGTGTTTATTAGTACATAGGTTTTTCGGTTTTGTTGTTGTTGTTTGTCCTTATAGCATCCAATCAAAATGTTTTATCCCCCAAAGTTCATTAGGTTAGCTCTTTTTTCCCATCCCCTTCCGTGTGGTTATTTGATTCATTTGTAATACAGTTAGATTTATTTGTCACAGTCTGCTTTTCCTCTTTCCCTCTACATCCTGGTTGATCTTATTTTAATTTACTTACAGTAAAATTCACTCTTTTTGGTGTATGGTTCTATAGGTTTGACAAATGCACAAAGTCATGTGTTCATCACCACAGTTCCATTCAAAAGACTTCCATCACCCTGAAAAGTCCCTCAGGCCACCTCTTAATGGTTAATCCCTGCCCCCACCTTAGCCCTTGACAACCACCGTTCTGTTTTCCATCCTTATGGTTTCACCTTTTCCAGATCATATAAATGAAATCAGGGAAGGTGTCATTTTGTGGGGGTCTGGGTTCTTTCACTTTGCAAGATGCATTTAAGATTCATCCATGTTGTCCATGAATTAAGTAACCCATGCATGAAGCAATAGTTTGTTCCTTTGTATGGCAGAGTCATGTTCTATTAAAAAGGGAAAATATAAAGATGTCTTTCAGCAGGCAAATGGACACTTGCTTATCCATTTGCCTGCTGAAAGACATCTTTATATTTTCCCTTTTTCTGGTGATTATGAATAAAGTGGCTATAAACACTCATATAGGGCCAGCCCGTGGCTCACTTGGTGCTGACAACACCAAGTCAAGGGTTAAGATCCCCTTACTGGTCATCTTTAAAAAAAGGTAAAAATTAGGAAAAAAAAAAAAAAACAAAAAAACACTCATATAGAGGTTTTTGTGTAA